AGGTTGGAAGTAGGGAGACCACTTAGGTTATGGAGTAATTCACAGGAGAGGCAGCGGTAACTGAGTCAAGATAGCTAGTAGTGATCACATCAGGTTTTGGATGTACTCTATAAAGAATTTCCTGAAGGACTGGATATGAAGAGTTAAAGAGAAGCATCAAAAGTGATTTTGAATTTTTGTCCTGAGCAGATGGTACAGTGGAGTTTCCCTCAGCTAAGATGGTAGCAGGTTTGGAGAGGAAAAGAGGAGCTCCCCCAAGAGGAGCTTGGTTTCAGGCACATTTTTAACATATTTATGGGGTGGCCGAAGAGGCATTTGTTATTCAAGTCTGGAGTGTCAGGGATGACGTCTATACTAGAGCTTTAAATTTGGGAGTCATCAGCATAAATGGGTATTCCTTGAAAATATTGTCGGTTAGTCCCAGGTCACCGCAATAAAATCAGTATTGCAATAAAGTGAGTCGCAGATTTTTTGATTTCCTAGTACATACAAAAAGTATGTTTATACTACACTGTAGTCTATTAAGTTTGCAATAGCATTATGTCTAAAAATTTATATCAGGTACCTTAAAATGTACCTTAATTTAAAAAAAATTTTTTTTGCTAAAAAATGCTAACCATCAACTGAGGCTTCAGTGAGTCATAATCTTTTTGCTGGTGGAAGCTCTTACCTTCAATTTGTAAAATTTAAATTATCTGCGAAGTACAATAAAGCACAGTGCAATACAACAAGCTATGCCCATACATAGCGTTTAAAGCCACAGCCCGTGTGAGTTCACCAAGAGACTGAATGCAGCTAAAGAGAAGAGTCTCTTCAAGTTGTATACATTAAATATGCACAGCTTTTGATGTGAGAGAGAGAGAGGAGATGAGAAGGACCATTAGTGATGAGGGAGATTTGGAAGAAGAGAGGAAGCTGCCAAGGAGACTCAAATGGAGCAGCCAATCAAGTAGAAGGAAAGCTGAAGGGTGGTGTCCTGGACCAAAAGGATAAAAGTTTATCAAGGGGAACAGCATGGTTCGCTGTGACTGAGAAGACAAGCGCTGAGAAGTGACCATTGGATGTGGAGACATAAAGGTCATTGGCTACCTTAACTGAACTGCGTGGATGGAATGGTGGCAGGGAGAGCGTACTAGGAGGCAGTGTGAGGAGAGAGGCAGGGAAGGATTCAGAAGAATTTAGTCAGCTTTTGGGAGTGCTTGGATGCAAAGAAGAGCAGAGAAATGAATGGGTCAGTAAGTGATGGGAAAAGCAAAGACAAATAAAACCTTTTTAAAAAAATTTTCACCTGAGGATATTTTTTAAATCCATCCACCTGCTTTTTTTGAGAGAGAGAGAGAGAGAGAGAGAGAGAGAGAGAGAGAGAGATCTATTGGTTGCCTTCTTGTACATGCCCCAATCAGGATTCAACCTGCAAGCTGGGTATGTGCCCTGACCGGGAATTGAATCCATGTTCTTTTGTTTTGCAGGATGATTCTCCAACCAACTGAACCACATTGGCCAGGGCAAGCCTTATTTTAATTATGGTATAGTGTTTAAACTTGGTTTCTAATAAAGGCTTGCAGCTGATGATAGTAATATGACCTACATCCATATCCTAATTATTCTAAAATAAGATGATATCCTGATGCATCATTCTATGTGCAACACCTTCATGGTTTTTCCAGTCATGTTTTTAACCAAAAAAAAAAGGTAGCTAAAGATGTGAAAATGATGGGTAAATTCCCCTTTAATTAAGTTTCTAAGGTGTTCATAGTCAGTAACTATATAGTAGATACTAGCAAATAAGAAATTTGACCTCTGAAATTGAAAACATTATTTTCTAAAGTGATAATGAGATCATTAGTTGCTTCAAGTTTATTCTGGTTAGCATCATACAGGGTAAATGACATTACAAAGCATAACTCAGTCTTATGAGCACTAAAGCTTCTGTATTTAAAAGAAAGTGAACCATCTGATCACTTAAATTGTTTTACCATCACTACCTATTGGTAATAATCATTAGGATTTATTGACAGCTTTATGCTAGTTTTCCAGGCTCAAGTGCTCACAACAGTGTCTGCATTAAGCATTATTATTAGCCTCGTTTTATAGATGAAGAAACAGAAAGCCTCCACACAGAAAGGTAAATAACTTAAGTCTTCACAGACAGTAAGTTGTGAATTGTCTGAGTCCAGGCCTGCTCTGAAGCAGGACTGCTGCTAGCCCATATGGCGTTCTTATGCAATTAGAAAACAGCATTCCATTTCGCAAGTAAGATTCTATTGTTACACAACCCGAATGGCTGTTTCCCAGGGGAGCTATCCAGAGCACTACATGTAGCATCTCAGTCTGCGCACACATGATCACCTATGCTTCTGCCTTTTCCCAGGACATACACTCCAGCCAATTTCCAAATACTTTGTGTTGCTCCTCCCATTTCCATGGTAGGCAGGTATATTCAGTTTAGAGCTGGGGAATAGGAAGCAAGTCCTTGAAAGTGCCAGGTAAGTGGGAGAAGCAATTGCAGTCTTCACTAGAAATGAAGTCAGGACAGGTATAACTTGTGTAGGTGTGTGTGCCAGCATGGAGGTGAAGGGTCTCCTGAGTGTGTGTGTATGTGTGTGTGTGTGTGTGTATGGCCATATACACTTAAGGCAGGTTTTTGTAGGAGTCAGCTCACCACTGCTCCAGAACTTGGTGAGGAGGCTTGGAATACGCTTTTATGTAAGTTAATATTTGTCAACAATATGAATTATTGTGCTGTTTTTGTGCTGTCTGTTTTTAAAGAATATATTTATTTTATTTAGAGAGAGGAGAAGGGAGGGAGAAAAATAGGGAGAGAAACATTGATGTGAGAGAGAAACATGGATCACTACATGCCCCAACTGGGGACTGAACCTGAAACCTAGGCATATGCCCTGACCAGGAATTGAACCAGAGGCCTTTCACTTTGCAAGACCATGCCCAACCCAGTCATATCAGTCTGGGCTATTTTTGCTGTTCTTCTACGGTGTGCAAACTGAACACTCCTATGCAGCGACCTTATTCCTAATCATTCTTTTGTTCATTAGACAATTGTTAAATGTCTACCTACATGCAAAGCACTGTTCCAGGCACTATGGGAGATTCAAAGACACTTGTTCTTTTTATCAAGGAACATAATATCTAATTGGAAAATATATACATAAATAGTATATAATACAATATAATAAGGTCTACAAGACAAGTATTGAAAATTGCTGTGTGAATTGACAAAAGAGAGTACTTTTTTCAGTTTGGTTAATTAAATCATCATGAAGGTAGCATTTGAAGAGTGACTTGGGAGGAAGAATTTGGTTGTACAGAGATGGAAACAGTATTTCAAACAGAGGGAACAGCGTGGATAAGCTGTACTTCATGCTTGCAAATAGTAGATACTTATGTGAAGCTGTACTTCATGCTTGCAAATAGTAGATACTTATGTGAAGCTGTACTTCATGCTTGCAAATAGTAGATACTTATATTGAACAAAGTAACATATTAATTCCGAACCCTGCCTTGGACCCCTGAAGGGCTATGAAGGTATTATTGTTGTTCACCAAACCTCTGGAAAACTGAAAGAGGACAAATGTCTTGAACACATACATACAACTACTTCTAATATATAAATGCTTTTGTTTAATATAAGATGCATTCATTCAAAAACATTACTGAATTCACTAATAGGACTTTGTTAACTATTTTCCTTTTTTTAAAGATTTTATTTATATTTATTTATTTTTAGAGAGAGGGGAAGGGAAGGAGAAAGAGAGGCAGAGAAACATCAATGTGTGGTTGCTCTCACGTGCCCCCTACTGGGGACCAGGCCCACAACCCATGTGTGTGCCCTGACTGGGAACTCAACCCCAGACCCTTTGGTTTGTAAGCCCGCACTCAGTCCACTGAGCCACACCAGCCACGGCTGTTACCTGTTTTCTAATCAACAAATCCCAAGGGTACAACTACTATAATGAGCTAGTTTTTAAGAAAAATTTGTGTTAAAAAAGGTTCTGTGTTCAGAAAGCTTGGAGGGTTCTGCAGTTGGATAAACCTTTATCTGAACTGTTGCTATCAATGATTAGCTGTGTATGGTATTGGACAAGTCTTTCTGAGTTTGTTTCTTCATCTCTGTAGTGTGAACTAGAAAACCAGCCTTGCTTGTTTTAAGGATTACATGCACATTTTAAGTGTTCAGCAAAAGCCAAGTATTATGAAATAAAAAGTTAAGGTCAAATCACAGTCCACCTTGAATACCCAGCTAAGGAATTGGTACTTTTTCTTCGGGTGTGATAGTTATTGAAGATTTTGTTTCAGCGACACAAGAATCAAGGAGGGAAACTAGTTAGAAAGGTATTGCAGTAGTCGGTGTGACACATAATGAGGCATTAGCAGCCAATTTCTGTGATATTTCAGACGATAAACTACAGGACTCCGCATTACTCTGTGCATGAACAATGCGTGACCCAGGCCTCCATTTTGATCTAGTCGGTGCTGTTAACAGCAAGGAAACAGATGTGAAGTTTCGTTTTGGACATTTTCATTCTGAGCACTTAAAAACACTGGGCTGAAAATGCATGCAAAAGCATCACACATAATGTACGTTGAAAAGAAAGCTTTAGAAATTTTGTTCACTCTCTTTAGATCTTTGTCTTTATGACATCTCAATACATTCTTGGGGTCTTCTCTATCACAGGGCTTGGGAAATAAGCGTCTACAATACCCAACAAATCGCATTTGGCGGGGCGTTCGGGCGCGATGTGGGTGTCACCACAGCGTGGGGCGTGCTCCCGCTTATCGGGGGACGTCTTTCGTCATCACCAACGAGACGTAGGGGGCGTAGCAACTCCCGCTTTTGCCGCAGGCTTCCGCCTGTGCTTCTTTTTGCGTACTCGCTCGCCCCCTCGTGGTCGAGGGCTTCGGGGCCAGCCGCCGGCTTTGAGGCCCAGCACCCTGTCGCCTACCCCCTAGTGTCAACCTGGTTCAGCGCGTGCGCCCAACTCGGCTCCGCCCAGCACCGAGCGAGGGGCGACGCCAGGAGGTAAAACGGAGAAGGTGCAGGAGGCGGACTGGGTCTAGGCCCAGTAATCCGGGAGAAACCGGGGCTCTGAGCCGCGGGGGGGCAATGGCGGAGGAGCAGAAGCATTGTAGCCCGGAATCACATCCCTGCTCCGACGGAGCAGCGGCCACTGCACAGCCTGCGGTGTCTTCACCCAAGACCGCCGAGGTCGCCCGAGAATCAGCGGAGCCCGAGGACTACAATAGCAAGTGCGTGTTCTGCCGGATTGCAGCGCGGCAGGAGCCGGGCACCGAACTCCTGTACTGTGAGGTGGGCAGCGACCAGCGGCCGGCGTGGGTGGGGACCGATCGCCCCTGATTGCTCCGGAGCTAGGTCTCGGGTGGGGACGGGGCGGAGGAACCCGAGTGAGTGGCGCTGGGGGGAGTTGGGTGACCGAGTGTGGGTGATAGACTCCCTTCTCTTCGTGCGGGGAGTTTCTCCAGCTGTCGCTAGGCTGTCCTGAGCGGAACAGATGTAGTGGTGAGGCCAAGCACTTCAGCCTGTCCCTGCAGGTAACGAGGTACTTGCTTTTAAGTTCTTCACACTCTGCTACTGATACGCGGAGAAAACTAGTAGAAAATTGACAGTAGTAATTGCGAAGGGTTTATGTTGTTGTTGTTAGATTGACTGAAAATAGGCTCGGGGGTGGGGGAGTAGATCTGAGGTCAAGCTATTACTCAATAGCTTCTGATTTCCATTGGAGGGCACAGCTCCTAGAAGTGTTATCGGTTGGAATGTGTGCGCATTTTAAGAGCATTAGCCTTAAAACCGATATGTGATACACACTTTTTCTGTAGGTTCTACTTACCTTTAAAGAAACATTCTTCGGAATCCCAAATACTAGAATCCAGAGATTGTTTTTGTAGTTAATTATTCATGTAGTTGTTAAAATTAAGTTGAGTTTCTAGGCACTTGGCGTTGGAGGGTCAGTGTAGTACCTGTTCAGATTTTACAATCTAGAAGGGGGCGTGAGTACAGTCAGAGGCGGTGCTGACTGCGGCGCCCTGTGCTGGGGGAAGAAGGTTTAACCACTTCGGTGTTGCGAAAGCCTGTGGGAGGGACTCCTGATCCAGATTGGAAGGGTCTGGAAGTTCTTTCCAGAGGAAGTAAGCCAGAAGAAGTAAGCAGGAGCTGGCCAGGTGAGAAAACAATGTTTTAGGTAGAGAGCGCCTCCGGAGGTTCGTTTTGTGCCAGAGAGCTAACAATCGAATGGGAGTTTAGAGTTTGAGGTGAACAGTGAGGCTGCAGAGTTAAGCTAGGGGCCAGATTATTAAGGGTGTGGCAGTTCATTTTAAGGAGTTTTCTCTTTATTTGAACAGTGAAGGGAAGCTCCGCAACGTTTAATATTGGGCTAGGGGGAAGGGGTTGAGGAGTTACCGAAAGGGATCTTTGAAAGAACGTTCTGGCACCGTTCCTTAGCTTGGAGGAGACCAGTCTGGAGGCCTGTGAGGAGGCTGTTGAAGTGATCCAGACAGATGATGGCCTGAAATAAGGATGTGGTAGTAGGGGTGAAGAAAGTGGCTGGGTTTAAGGATATTTAGGAGAAAGTGGGCAGGGCTTATTGATGGAAGCCGATGAGTGGTTCTTAACTGGAAGCTGTGGCTCCCCAGGGGAATTTTGTGAATGCTTTGGGATGCTTTTCTTTGTAACAACTCTGCAGTCAAAGGAGGACTACTGGCACCTAATGGGTAGAGGCCAAAGTTGCTAATATACAATGCACAGGACAGCACCCTGCAGCAGTGAATTATCTATCCCCCAACTGTTGACAGTGCCTGGGCTGAGAAGCCCTGATTTTGACGTGGGAGAACAAGGAAGAGAAAGGGGGAGGCCCAGGATGATTTCCAGGTATCTGGCTAGGATAAACTGGTGGCACTGCTACCGTCTCTTTCAGACTGGAATACAGAAGAGAGCAGATGGCCAGGAGAGTGGTGGGGAGGGTCAAAGCAATGAGTTCAGTTTTGGAGCTGAGTTTGAGGTGAGTGTGAGGCATCTAAGCACAGATGTCCAGTGAGTGGTTAGGTAGTCCAGCACTCTGCAGAGAGTCTGGATTTCTAGCCCAGATTACAGGAACTGCCCATTTATAGATGGAAATTGAAAAGAGGGTAACTGAGGAGATGACCTAGGAAGTATATGTAGAGTAAGAAGTGAAGGGGGCCCTACAGGGAATCCTAAAGAACACTGGTGTTATAAAGGAGAGGCAGAGGAGAAGGACCTGAAAGGGGGAAGGAGAAGGAACGGTCAAAGAAAGAGAAGGAAAACTAGGAAGGCTCAGAAAAGGGAATATGTCAAGCAGAAAGGAATGGGCAGCAATATCAGCCTTCCCAAATCCTCAAGTCTGGGATAGGTGACCCTCCTACTTGCCTGCGGAGAGGCCACGTTAGATCAGAACTGGTTTTGTCCCCAAAACCATGGTCACTCACTTGTAGGAGCACAATTGCTGTGCAGTGGTGAGACAGAGGGCAGGTTGTAGCTGATTGAGAAGAACCTGGAGATGAAAAATTGAAGAGAGCAAATATGGACAATTTAAAAAAATGTATAGACAACTTTTGAAGGAAGTTTGGCAATCTTGGGGAGGAGGGTAAGGGAGTGATAGCTACAAGGGGAATTGGGGGTTGAGAGAAGGCTTTTTAAGGCCGTGAAGACTTTGGCATGTTTCATTACTAGTGGGAAGATGCCAGTGGAGAGAGGTGTACAATGGCCGGGGGCGGGGGGGGGGGGGTGGTTAGACCTTTGTCCCTGGGAGAGAGAAACCTCCACACATTCGTGCTCAGGATTTGAGTGAATGCCTTCTCTGTACCAGGTACTGTTGGAGGCAGTGGGATACAGCAATAAACAAAATGTGCAAAAATCCCCATCCTTGTGGGCACAGGCAATCAACAATAAGGAAAATATTAAGTAAAATACATAGTTTATTAGGTGGTGAAAAATAAAAGAGAAAGGGATGCAATTTTTAAATTTTCATCAAGAAAAGGTACACCAAGAAGGTAACATTTGAGTGGAGGCTTGAAAGAGGGATGGAGAAAATTACCTGGTTATTTAGAAGTGAAAAGTCTGAAGAATCTTTTCTGGAGGCCAGGAAGGAGGATTGGGGAGACAGAAGAGTGTTGTGTAGTGATGAGGGTCTGCTGAGGTTGAGAACCATTAGTTTCCCGTCTGCTCAGCTATGTGAGTTTTGTACCCTCCAGCAGCCTAATTCTGGTTGCATATAAGGTGGGCAGTTGTGTCGTGTCGACCCAGGGTTGGGGCCTGGCCATATGGGTGTTATGGAAGCGCAGTGGGACAAAGGTAAGAATGTTTGGATAAGAGATTGGCTGCAGTGATAGACCACGAAACCTATGTTGAGAAGGGGGAAGAAGCAGAGACGGAGCAGCTGATGGGGAGAAAGAATAAGTACATCCATTGTTTCCCTGCAAAATAAGCCGCTTGCTGAACCAATTCATGGGTCGGAAAGGACCCAGCTCTGCCACTTCATTCAGTCTTTGTTATACTAAATATAACATTAGGTTAGTGAGAGGTTGAGCGAGTTTTTTAACTTTGCAGAGTTCAATATTTCTTCAATTCCTAGAAATTGCTTTTAAATTTTGTATATTCTGGTACCACTGTTGAATAAAAGTAGTAGAAAATTGATACTAGTAGTTGTGGAGAGCTTTGGTTGAAAATAGTCGTGGAGAGGGGTGGGATTGTTTGACGTCTATCACAGCTTTCCTCCTGGTAGCTTCATCTTTCTGCTTACGCACCTGTCATTTATTTATTGAAGTTTTGCAGGCTTAATATGTGTTATTCACTTGGAGTTCAGAGATGAATATGACATGTCCACACTTGAGAAGCTTGCCTATGTTTTGAATTGAAAGCAGGAAATAAAAAATTCTCTTTTAGTGGGTGTCATTAGGAATAGATAGTCAAAATTTTGTATTTCAAAGTCACTTGAAATCATCTTTTCTTTGTGTGGTTATTTAACCAACATGATATACAGTCAGGTTCATTGATTTCTTTTTGTTTTCCATTTTTATGGGCTAAGTTGTTTTTGAAGTCCAGAAATGTATGTTAAATGTTGACTCTTTTTAAAAATATTTTATTTATTTATTTTTAGAGAGGGAAGGGAAGGAGATAGAGAGAGAGAGAAACATCAATGTGCAGTTGCTGGGGGTCATGGCCTGCAACCCAGGCATGTACCCTGACTGGGAATCGAACCTGTGACACTTTGGTTTGCAGCCCGCACTCAGTCCACTGAGCTACGCCAGCCAGGGTAAATGTTGACTCTTTTAAAGTCAAAATTGTAAAGCAAAGTACATTCAGAAAAACCTAGTGTCCATTCTCTTGTCATCTCTGCCCCATTCCTCTTCCCCCATAAAAAACTTGAAAAAATTTTTTTTTGATTTATTCTTCCATTGTAAGTAAATATGTGTGTGTGTATATTTGTATTCTTCTCTCTTACACAAAAGATAGCCTGACCACTTTCTTGCCCCTTGCTTTTTTTTTAAACTTAGAAGTATGCTCCAGAAATGATTTTGTAAGTATATGATTTTATGTTACTCCATTGTGTGGGTTTACCATAATTTAGTCAGTTTCCTAGTTGAATTATGAGCACTTGGGTTGTTTTCATTCTTTTGCTATCATAAATTGTTCTGTAGCCTTGCACATATGTCATTGCATATTTTTTGCCAGTGTGTCTTTGGAATAGGAGAATAATCTTCCTTAAAATGAAAAGTCTGAGTAATGGCTGGGTCAGTAGAAATGGGAGAGAGGGTGACTTCAGTGAACCAGTTTCAATGTTTTAGAAAGCTTAATGGAAATCTAATAACATCATTGATTGCATAGGCTAAGACATCAAGGGCTTTTTTTTTTTTTTTGCTTTTGACAGGAATTTTATCTATTTCTGGTGATGACAGTTATATTGATTTTTTTTGTTGTTGTTACTTAGAATTGGGAAAATTCTTCATATATGACGTTTAGCAAACAAAACCTTTCAAAACAGGGGTTTGGGAAACAAAGATGGAGAACTGGACATTTGGTTCATTCTTGAGCCTGAGTCATGGAGTATGAGACAACATATTTTTAGGAGCTTTAATTTTTTTTCTCCTGTTTTATTTTAGAGTTTATTTGTATCTTCTTATTTCTACTTTTTAAAAAATCCTCACTTGAGGATATGTTTATTGATTTTAGAGAGACACACACACACAGAAGTGAGAGATAAACGTCATTGACTAGTTGCCACCCTTACATGCCCCAGCCAGGGACTGAACCCTCAACCTTTTGGTGTGACGTATGGGACAAGGCTCCAACCAGCTGAGACACCCGGCCAGGGCGTAGACTGTATTTTCCTGTTCCATGAATCTAAAGCAGTGTTACTCCTGCCTTGAGGTAGAATTCACCTACATTACCTCAAACTAATTCTAATCAGATTGTATTCTGTACCAGAAAGGATTACCTCTGGATTTTAAAAAAAGTTAATGCCATAATTGAAGGGAAATAAAGACATATAAAGTTACTGTGTTATGAATCAATCTGGAGAGTACAATAGTGGCAGTTTTTGTTGTGCTATATTTTCCCCCAACACTAATTGTTTCTCAGCTGGAAGCACTAAAGACATCATGAAAAAATGTTAAAGAATCAAACACATTGTGGTCCTTGGTCTCATCGTTTCCTAAAACATTTCATGGATATTAATATTTAAAGTTACTATTAGTCAGAAAAGTCATAATAAAAATGTATTGAAATTGATATATTTGTCATAGGTGTTGTTTTAGGGTGCCCCAAGTCATCCAGCCTTCTAGGATCTCTATTATATACATATATATCCACATGTATATGTATATAAAGAGAAATGCATGTACATACATGTGTATATGTATATGTATGTGTGTATGTACACACATGCAAAACTGGTCTGAGCCTCGGCCCATACATCCCGCAAACGCAGCCCTCCCCCCGGCAGACCAGGGCGATCTCACGGGCTGGGGCGGTGTGCTGCATGCACTCTCTGGAGTCACTTCTCACGGTTTCTGTCTCGCTTAATTTTCTGTCTCAGCCTCAAACTTTTGTCTTCCATTAACCAAGGGGAGTAACACAGGTTCTTTCCCTTTCGTTTTCTTGATACTTTAGCACAAAGAAACAGTTGCTGTAGATTTTTCCTGGAAGTTTGGGCGTAATGAAGGATTATCATATTCAAACACAGCATCACATCCCTGTACGGTAGGCAGGATGCCCAGTTCAGTTCTTGTCCGAGCACTCTCCCCCTTGTTCACGTTACATTCAGTTGGTCCATCACCATTTAGCTTAAGATCTTAAAAAATACAGGATTTTCCCCGCCCTACTACCGTCTTATAGGCAAGTTACACGTAATAGCTGGAAAAATAATCAAGATTTTTATATTGTGCCTCCAAAGTTTAGCAGCTTCTGTGCTGAAGGTATGTTAAGTGTGGACAGCAACGAAGTCAGTATTTAAACAGTATTTTAATAAAGTACTATCATGGGCATTTTATAGAAGTCTTAGGAAAGGGTTACACAATACTTCAGTTTTGCCACTTTCCATTTCAACTATGGCTCTACTGAGAGGTAAAGTAGAAGTTCTCATTCTCCCAGGAGGTCGCGTTGTCCGTCACCTGATGCTTTAATAAGCAGTGTGGACAATGCTAAGGAAGATAATGACACACTATATACAGTTGCCTTTCAGCATTCTCATTGGAACCAAGATTACTGGTATGGATATGAGACTCGTTCAAATTGAGTTTTGGATCCTCGAATGGAGAACTAATGCATTGTGGGAATATTCCTGAGGGAACCTATGCTTATTGATACTGATTTTTTTTTTAATTTTGACTAATTTTTTAGTATAAGATATTTAATAAGGTTATTAAGGAACATAGATTTTTCCCTTGGAGGGCTTGAAACTAAAATGTTAATAGATAGAAAAACTCCCTGTTTGGTTTCCTTTGCTTTTCCCTTACATTACTGTATGGAGTATGTAAACCAGGAAACTGATGTAATGGATTGGACACATGACTTAGTGCCATATACTGGTGTGTGTTTGCACATTTCAAAGGCTTTTTAATGCTGTAAAGTGGCAAGTAAACATAAAGAAGAAGATCTTGTGTATAGTTGCTGTAAAAATGCTTAACATGTAACCCCTGGCTATGTAGATGCCAGATAATGTTCCTGTTATAACTGAGGAACATGCTGCTTTGAAAAGTAATTACAACTAAAAACGTATTTATCAATTTTGCTATGACTCTGTAGTCAAACCTTTAAGAGTGCATGTTAAGAGTGAAAAAACCCTAGGGTAGAGATAGTGAAATAAAGATAACTCTGGAATCGTTGTCAGTGAAGTTTTAATGAACTTTATTCATAATTGTTGTACTGAAATTGGCTTTATATGAGTCTTTTTATTCTCTGGAATACACAAGCATCTCATGAAGGATGCTAAAGCTTGTCTTTACAACTTGATGCATAATCACAAAATTGCCCAGTGGGGCTTAGTTGTAGTGTAAGTACCATTTTCCTATCAGACTGAGATTTCTGGTGTTTACGACAGGCCTGAGCAGCATTAGGTAATTTTTTTTTTAACAAACTCACTAACAAATGATATACATTTTTTTCTTTTAGAATGAAGACCTAGTTTGCTTCAAAGATATTAAACCAGCAGCACCTCATCATTACCTTGTAGTGCCAAAAAAGCATATTGGAAACTGCAGAGATCTAAAGAAGGAGCAAATCGAACTCGGTAAGATGATGGCAGCATTCTTCACGGTTCTGTCATCTTAGTTGGCATCAGTGCCACTTAAAAAGCCTAGCCAGGTATTATGAAAAGGAGTATTAGGGCTTTCTGAAACTTTCATTATGAAAAACTTCAAATGTATTCAGAAATAAAAACAATAGTATAATCTCCATGTATTCATCACTCAGCCTTAATATTTATTAACTCATGGCCAACCTTTTTCCATCTTATAATCTTCTCCCCCAGTGTATTTGAAACAAACCTCAGATATCATGTTGTTTTTACATGCCGCTGAGTCAGCTCCCACTCCTGGCAACCCTACGAATGAGTGACGTCCAGTGTTCTGTCCTCAGCAGCTCTGCTCAGTGCCTTGTGCACTCACATGTACAGCGCCTTCCCTGGAGTCGGTGCAGCTCCAAATGTGTCTTTCCGGCTGCCTTCTTTTCCCATCGGCATTATTGTCTTTTCCAGAGAACTCTGCCTTCTCCCAATCTGTTTAATTTTTAACATCTCTAAAAGATAATGTCTTTCTATGTTTTTTAAGTGATGGCTTTTGTTGGCTTTGAAAATGAAAGGTGCCATGAGAAATTATGTACAAATAAGTTATGATATGACATATGAGCTCATAGTGCCTGGGAGGGAGACCGTGTTGGTACCTGCCGTGCAGTTTCCTGTGTAGATGAAATTTTAGTTTAATTATGAGGTTTTTGTGATGAACCTTTAGCCTCTGGAAAGAGATTCTGAATGTTGTGTCTTATAGGATTATCCTGTGTTTTTCTGTTTATGATTTCTGTGACTTGTCTGTTACCATTTACTAAGATATTTTTAAGTTCATTTCTAATCTGCTTTGATAGCCTTTGTCACCAAGGGTTAGGGTTAGTCAAGTACTGGGCAAGATACATAGATTGGGCCAGATGTTTTGAAGGTATATGAGAAATATCTTTTTTATAGAAAATCTTGATGTGTAGTTCACTAGTATTTAGACTGCTGAATTACCAGTTTTTAAACTGTTTTTTTTTTTTTTTTGTAGATAATGCAAGTTCCTTAATCATCTGAAGTTCTGTCAGTACATTTCACATTCATTCCAACAGATGGAGGCCAGTGCACATGCAGCATTTAGTACCAGGCAGTGGCCACCACCGTAGCCTTAAGTACTGATGTACTTTTATATTTCCTTTTATACTGTTTTTCCTGAGGAGGGAGAAATTTTGTGTTTTTTTAGTATTTATATATTTTAAAACTTTTTCTAACCGGTTCACATCTTATGTTCCTAATTTTGAAGCAGCATGGTGGATATTTGGGATTTTATTATACTTATGCTGTTCTTTCTGATTTTGTGAACATTTGAATATTTCCATAATAAAAATTTTTAAGTTCTTGCAATTAATATTTTATACAGTTTATAAAGTTAGAAAAATAATAAGCACATGAAAGAGCTCTATAACACTGTCAAGCACTGTGACCATAATTGACATTTACAGAGCTCCACCTAACTGTAGAATACACAGTTTGTTAGGAGCTCATGTTCACCAACATAGACTTTGTTGTGAGCAATAAAATGTGTGTAAATACATTTCAGATCATTAAAATCTTATAAAATATCTTCTTTAACGACAGTGGCATAGAAAAATAATAAAATCTGAGCGCGGGATGGGAACCAAAGTGTCCCAGGTTCGATTCCCAGCCAGGGTACATGCCTGGGTTGCAGGCCACAACCCCCAGCAACCGCACATTGACGTTTCTCTCTCTCTCTCTCTCTCTCTCTCTCTCTCTCTCTCTCTCCCCCCCTCCCTTCCCTCTCTAAAAATAAATAAATAAAATCTTTAAATAAAAAAAAGAAAATGTTTCTTTAAAAAAATTTAAAAAAAGAAAAATAATAAAATCTATAATAAGTTTAAAAATTAACACTTTTGAGTAACTTTTAAATAAAAAGGTAAAAAAAGTAAAAATTTTGGATCTGATTTGAAATGAGTACATAAGTGATTGGTAACAAAAATATACAATGTATTAAAATTCATGGAATGCAGCTCAAGCAGTGCCTAGAGGGAAACTTGTAGCTTGAAATGCTTATATTAGAAAAGGAGGTTTAGAACAAATGACGTAAGTTTTCACTTCTGGATGCTAGAAAGAGTCAAGTGAGTCAGAACTGTTTAAGTATAAAGAAAGAAGTAACCAAGAGCAGATATCACTGAAGAGAAAAGAAGACAATAGGCTTTGCTCCATGTATTTCGGATCTGATTCGAAATGAGTACATAATTATGATTGTTATTTTTCCAATGAATTGATTCTTTTTTATCATTATAAAATGACCCTGTTTATCTCGGGAAAATACTTCTTGAGCCTATTTTGAATATTACTTATTGTTTGCGCTGGTTAGCTTTTCCTATCCTTTCTACCAAACTGAGTTTTATATTTAAAGTCTTGAAGATAGCAGTGCAGTTAGATCTTTGCTTTTCTTTTTTTAGTGTAGTGTGGAAGTACCTGTCTTGTCGGAGTGTTTAGTTCATAAGCATTTGATGTAACTTCTGCTGTGGTTGGATTTAGATCTGCTGTCTTGCCATTTATCTTCTCTTTGTCCCATTTGTTTTTTGTCGTCCTGCTGCTTCTTTCCTGCCTTCCTGGAGTTGATCAAATCTTTTTTTTTTTCAGTATTTCACTTTATCTCTTCCCTTTTTCAGGTATTCCTCTTCCCATTTTTTTAAGTGGTTGCACTATGGAGATTAAAATACACATATTATAATTATCACAGGCTGTTTGAGTTAACATGGTATTACTTCATGTAAAATGTGAGAAACTTAGCAACACTTTATTATTGTTGTCATACATATTTCATCTATGTATTTTCTAACCCCATAATACTGTTAAAATTACTGGTTTAAACAGTCATATGTGTATTTTAAAGGGAGTAAAAGATAAAATAGCTTTTTATATTTACCCACATTTTGGTGATATCTGGCATACCTTAGAGGAAAACCATGTACACTCTGGCTAGAAGTAACATGAGCTTATTTTTGATGTGGGAGTCTGGCAGCCTCCTGCATCTAGCCTGACTTAGAGAAGCAAGCAACAGCAAGAGATTTATAAGCCTTATTCTAACAACTATCCTCTGTAAATCTCTCACTTTCTCTCCTTTTAAACAGTTAATTACACCCTTCAGAAACAGAAGAGGTGCAAAATGTGTCATTTGAAGATGCAGGGTTACCAAAATTTTCCTAGTGGGGAGGTGTAGTCCCATCTGAAGGCTGTAAAGCACTGAAACAGTAAAGGTGTTAAGGCAGATAGAGTTTGGATGCCAAAACAATCCTGCAAACATTTAGCTAGTCAAGGCTAAGCTGACCTGAAGGGATACCATAATCCCTAATTTGGACTCAAAGACAAATTCATTATTTTCTTATCTTCTTAATTCAGACAATTTTTAATTGCTTGGTCTCGTATGACTAGAATTAGACCTCAGTGGGATCAGATGTCCTAAACAGTCATTTGATAATACCCCTCAACAGCTGTTCAGAGCCAGCCCATGTGTGGTATTTTGTGATAGGTGGAACCGTCATTTCAGTTGTTGATAAGCAAACTTCTCAGTAACTTAAAGCATTCAGTGTGTCTTTAAATGTTTATCTATTAGAGACGATTTTGACTAAAAATCGTCTAAAATGGCCCTAAAAATAATTTTGACTATGGCCCTAAAAATTAAGATTAATAATGCTTTTGGGAACTTAATGTCTCCTATGGCGTAATATACTTTCTTTCCTGTTTTATAGTTGAGAACATGGTTACTGCTGGAAAAACCATTCTTGAAAAGAATAATTTCACTGACTTCAAAAACGCGAGGTATGTGGACTTCCAAGTAGAAACCCCTATTCACAGCTGGTTTTTCGGAAATACTGTTTCCTCGTGGAAACAGAAGGCGGAGGTGACAGAGTTCACAGTTTAAATGCAGTGTTCCTGGAAGTGAGAGCACAGTTCATTGGTAGTGTAAACTTAATTAAAAACCTTCTTCTCATGTTTCAACATCTGATAGTTACTACTTACAGTTTGGACAGACAAGTTTATTCAAGCAGTGGGTAGGCAGATAGTTACAAGTCCACTTTTTTGTTCATTATGTGCATTTCTATAAAATTGTGTGTAAATCGACTTTCCAAAGAAAATACTTTATGTGATTTAAAAATGCATTATTATATGTTTAGCATGAAATTAACTTGAATATGTTGCCTGCTGAACTGAACTCTGTCATTTGTCAAAGTTTGAGCAAAAGCAGAAAATGTTCAATTTGGCAGCTGTTTTTTTTCTTTTTAAAACATTTCTGACTTTTTCTTGTGTGACCAAAGCAGTACCCAGGCAGGTATAGTGGAGATGACCCCTGGCACCTCTGCACTGGGATTCTGAGAGACCCGAGTTCTCATGCCGCCCATGCTACTTGCTGTGCACTGTGCTGGTACTGCCTGTGCTACTTTTTAGACAAGTCTTCAGCCTCTCTTAGGTGATACCTGCTCTGCCTGCGTGTAGGCTCAGATGAGACAATGTGTGAAAATCCTCTGAAAAGGGTTACCTACTACCCAAGAGTGATAATGACAAGGAACAGATGGCATCTGACATCCTTTGGCCAAAAGCAGCACGTTCCCTCCCCAGTCACAGGAGCGCTCGCTTGTTACAAGAGTGGACACTGGGTCTAGATCCTGACTCCGCCACTGCCTCACATTGAGACTTTAGGAAGGCTCTTAAGCTTTTTGGGTCATGGCTTCCCCATCTTTAAAATGAAAGGGTTGGGTTAACCCTTGAGTTTCTTCTTGCTTTCAGATTACTTGATTCCACATGATATGCCTCGTACTTCACAGAGGGAAAACCTAGTTTTCCTTTCTAGGAGGTGGTGACAGCTTTTCAATATGTGTTGTGTATCTAACTTCCATTGTCAGTCCTGTATTGATACAGCATAGGACTTCTGTGACTTTTCCACTTAGAATAAGTGGACTTGCAAAGCTGTAGATTGATTTTTGAGAGGTTAAATCATACTCGAAATTTCTTTTACTAGTCAAAGGAATTCTCTTATGTTTTATAAAGCAAATGAGTATTAATAATTAACAATCTAACCTTTAATTATTAAACAAGACACTCAAGTAATGATAAAGTTTTTTCAATGATGATATAATTAATTTTTCTACTGAATTACTGGTGGTAAGGACATGATTTACTGCTTTTATTAAAGAATAGAGCGCGCCATCTACTGGCTATGTGCTGGAATAATGGAACCATCCTTGAGTGTCCTGTACTTCTTTTCTTTAAGATTCATTGCCCCCCTGGCTGGCATAGCTCAGTGGATTGAGCTCGGGCTGGGAACCAAAGTGTCCCAGGTTCGATTCCCAGCTAGGGTACATGCCTGGGTTGCAGGCCATAAACCCCAGCAACCACATATTGATGTTTCTCTCTCTCTCTCTCTCTCTCTCTCTCTCTCTCTCTCTCTCTCTCCCTCCCTTCCCTCTCTAAAAATAAATAAATAAAATCTTTAAAAAAAAAAAGATTCATCGCAGAGGCATGTTTTAGGAGAATTAAAGCTTAATATGATAAATACTGACAGTGATAGGATGGAATGCCAACTCAGAATTCATGAAGGTTTTGCTAAGGCATGATATGCTTTTAAGCCTTCCTTGAGGTGGAGTTTGTGTGACTGTGCGCTTAAATGTGAAAAGAAGAGGAACGGTGTGAATATTCCCAAGTAGATAAAGAAAAACAGGAAAAGAAATGTTTGAACGCAAATCTACCTTAGGTAACCTATTTTAAATTTCTCTAATAGTTACGTGTTTTATCATGAAAAAATAGCTTTAAACTGTTGTGAAAACAATGTGTCAGTTATCTGTTGCCTTTCTGTTTTAGGATGGGTTTCCACGTGCCACCATTCTGTTCCATTTCCCACTTGCACCTTCACGTTCTGGCGCCAGTTGATCAATTTGGCTTCTTTTCAAAATGGGTTTATAGAGCGAATTCCTACTGGTTCATCACAGTAAGTGTTACTGGTACACTAGCAGTGTACAAAAATGTTTAAAATATTTGTCCTTTTTCTTGTAGTTTTTCTTTTCTTGGCAACGGCTTTCATAGCTTGATTATCTGTTTTAACATACTACTGCTTGCGCATATCCAAAATAATACTTTTAATTTGGGGGGTTTTCCAGATCATCAGATCTGTAGGAATAGAAGCTATGGCTAAGTCTCTCCATTGCAAGCAGAAGTTATGATGGAGAATGACCATGGCATTGATAGTTCAGAATCCAGAATCAAGTCTGGATTCAAGTTCTGGCTTCATTAGTTACTTAAGGGGCCATGTACAAGTAACTTAAATTTTTCAAGGCCCAAATTCTTAACCTATTACCTGTGTATGAGTAATAGTACCTACTTCTAGGGTTGGTAAGAGAATCGATGAAATAATTTACTTGTAAAGCACTTAAAACTGTACCTTACAAATAGTATATACTCAGTTAATGTAACCTGCAGTCTATCCTCATCATCACTGTTATTGTAGAAATTGAGTTTTTGTAATTTTTGATAGTCAGTTTAAACTCCTTTAAAAAGGTCTACACAAGTAGCATCATCTACCAGATCCAAGATTGAAGCTTTGTGCCTAATAAATTACAAAATTCTGTAATTATAGAACTCAGTAGGATAGTACTCAGCTGGTTATAGGCCTGGGGCCTGACCATCAAGCCTCACTTCCTAAATGACTCTGTCCTTCCAGTGTCACGTGACCAGTAATTTATCAGATGCTTATTTTCTGTGTCTATGACAATAAGGTGGCCTGTAGTTGCTATGTCTGAATAATTATCAAATGGTAAATTAAATAATTACCATTAGTTAATGAATATTATTTTATTATTGTCATATTATAATATGTAAGAAATTCAAAGGCATCTTATTTCTAGAAACTTAATATTTCAAACTTACTCCTCTCTTCAACTTGTCTAGATGGTTTTATTTAATTAAAACTATATTTAAGAAATTTGTGTGTGTGTGTGTGTGTATTTGAAGTAAAATAGTGGAAAATTCTGTAGGACAGTTGGTTTGGTCTCTAAAATATCAATGGGGTAAAAAGGATTTTTTTTTCTTATTTGTATTTCTAATTTTCTTCATGACCCATGCTTTTATAATAAAAATTAACTAAAAATACATATTTGTAAAATAGTTATGGGGATGTAAAGTACAGTATTGGGAATATCCTCAATAATATTGTAATAACTATGTATGGTGTCATACTTATTGGGGTGAACACTTCCTAAGGTATATAAATGTCTAATCGTTATGTTGAACACTTAAAACTAATATAATATTATATGTCAACTGTATTTGAAAATGAATTTTTAAAAAATGGAAGGGAATTCTGACCCATGCTATAACATAGGTGAACCTTGAGGATGTTAAACCAAGTAGTATATGATTCCACTTATGTGAGGTTCCTTGAGTAGTCCACCTCATAGACCTCATAGAGGCAGAAAGTAGAATGGTGGTTGCCAGGAGCTAGGCCCTAGAAGGGTAGGGGATGGGCAAAGGATAGGGAGTTGTTTAATGGATACAGAGTGTTGTTTTGCAAGTTAAAAAGGGTTTTGGGGATGAATGACAATGATGGTTGCAGAGCACTGTGAATATTCATAATACCATTGACCTGTGTATTTAAAAAATGATTTAGATGTTAAATTTTATGTGCATTTTTTACCACAATAACAAATTTAAGAACAAAAGAAAACAAATTCATTTTTGTAATGTTTTAAACTATTCTTACATAACGTTTTAGTTGGAACAAGTGAACAAAGTTATAAGATCTGTTAATGGTGCATCCTGGGAATCTGAACTCTTCTTAAATCTGTTAGTATACAACATATTATGAGACTTTAGAAAAAAATCAAGATAAAGATGTTAAAGTTTATTCCAAAATCTCTTATATAATATTCTATATCTATACGATGATTAAGAAAAGTATCTGAAATGGTACAACTAGAAGACTTTACTTTTAATTTTTTAAATAGACGTTATTTGTTGGAGCAGTTTTGGGTTCATGGCAAAACTGAATGGAAAGCATAGAGCTCCCACGTACCCCGACCCCCACATGCTAACAATCTGTTGGCATCCCACACAACAGTGATACATTTGTTATAATCCATGGAACTACATTGACAAATCAGTATAACCCAAAGTACATAGTTTACATTAGGGTTCATTCTTGGTGGTGTACGTTCTGTAGGTGTGGACAATGTATAATGACATGTGTCCACCACTACAGTACACAGAATAGTTTCACTGCCCTAAAAATCCTCTGTGCTCTGGCTATCATCTGTTCCTCCCCCCTAACTCCCGGTAACCACTGATCCTTTCATTGTATCCACAGTTTTGCCTCATCCAGAATGTCATCTGGTTGTAGTTGTACAGTTAAGTACTCTTTTTCAAATTGTTTTTTTTTTATTTAGTAATATGCATTTAAGGTTCCTTCATGTCTAGTTTACATCTAGTTTGTGGATGTGTATAAAATATGCCTAGTTATATGCAATGTAGAATACCTTTATTATATTTTATAAAAATATTACATTTAGTTTTGTAAGATACCTTTAGGAACAGGATTTGTATTATCCAGCTTGTCTGCTGTGGTTTGTTATAATAGGGATGCCAGTAGAATTATTTCACGCTGGCTGTGATATCTGAAATAAAAAATATGTTGTATTTTTAAAATTACAGGCTGATTATTTGATGGAAAAACTAAGAACATGAAAATGACAACAGTGGAAGATTTTCTTAATCTTGGCTCATCATAAACTAATATTTCAGTACCTTTTAATTCAAATGACAATGGTAAGGTTTGTTGGGTTTTATAAGAGGCTATTACTGGGTAGCCTTAGATCTTTTCTGAATGTCTTTTTCCTGAGATCCGCGGTATAGTTATATGAATACTTTGTCATTGCCTTCTTTCATGGTTACTGGTCTAAGATTTAAGATACTAAAGATAAAATCCCATTAAAACAAATTCTATTAATCAGGAAGGACTCTGTATTAATTTTTTTTCAAATATTTTCATTTCTCACTATAGTCAATTATATGATATATTATGAAGAATAAACTGGTATAGAAAGTACTTTGTTGGAGTCTTTATTGCTATGAAAGAAAAAGAAATTTGACTATCTCTTGACAGTTCCATAGTGTCAAAATAAAGATCACTGTATTGCATGGTGATCTCTGGTCTTGGTGGAAAAAATTTGTATGTATGTCACTTTTTACTCAGATTTCAGTTTTCACTTCTTGAAGCCTAGCATCTGTGTAATAAATTAGTCCTCAAAGCTATATAATATATGTAATAACTTCTAACAGTGACTTTGCAATACCAATCAATTTGGCTGTCTAAGGGAATTCACTGTAACTGAATTTTACCTGTAAGAACATGTGGGTAAGAAACATAAAATGTTAATAAAATATTAATTTATTAAAACTGGCAGAAATTGTTGCTTTATTGCTTGTTTACTATACCAAAGGAAAATTAGAATTTAAAAATAATTAGAGCTAGCTTTTATCATGGAAACAGCCTGGTTTGAAAGTAGAGATAGAAAGCCTTGGATGAGAAAATTTATTTTAATAGCAGTGTTAATTTTATTGGCATATCATTTTGTGGGGCCTGTTTCTTTAGGAATTGTCTTGTTGCTAATCTAGACTAATGATATCACTGTAGGATAAAGAGTAGGCACTGAGAGCTAATCCTGCATTGTGCCAAGTCTAGTAAGTACTGTGACTGAGCATGAGGATTGAAGTGTTGGTGTTTGAAATTGGCTAAGATGACTCATTTTCTTTCTTATTTTTTCCATGATATTAAACATAGTTTTAAGTAATGAAATACTAATTATAATGTTTAGTTACAACATCTGGAATCACTGATGTTCGATTCATTCATTTATTCATTCAGCAAATATTTGCTGAGCATCTAATGTGTACCAGATGTTGCCAGGACTGGGAAACACAGAAGTGAGAAAGGTCTGCCTTCAGTTGCTCACACAAGGGTCAGACAAAACTAGTGATTCCAGTTGAATGTGTTAAGTGCTATAATGTCTGCAGAGGGGGCTGTGGGGAGGGAAATGCTTTTGTGAGCAGGTGCTAGTAGAATTGATTATTTAAGACTCAATGTTAGCAGGTAGGCAATGGAACTTTAGATCGAGAGACCTAGATATACTTTCCTTGTGTTCTTCCTCCAGTTTTATTTACTTTACAATTGGTACGAATGCCCAAATTCCATTTTATTCACTAGAGGTGGAGAGAGGGATTTGGGAGTAGTGGTATGGACTCTCAGAATTAGATTTACAAGTTAAATCTTAACCGCTTCATTAAGTAGCTTGCTGAGCACCTATGTAGCAACTACAAGTTTTTATAAGTCAGTTCAAATGTGACCAGATACAGAAAAGGAATGTTCGACATGTACACCATGTTGTACTATGTGAATTTGCAATGATATAATTGACAATATTATGATACTAACATTCAGTACTTAAGGAATTTTCAATGCCTTATGAATTTTTTAAAAAAGTGATTAGCCAGTTTTAATTTATATAGGTTTATACTCTCTCACATTAAGTTTTCCTTCTTTGTTGGAAAACCCTTGGGACATTATATATTTAGTGGCAGTTTTACCTATAAAGATTAATAATCAAATTACTGCAATTAAAATTCACTTAGCCTTTTCAGTAGTTTATGAATTTGGTAGCTATAGCTGTCTATAACATTAGCTCAACATAAAGCTAATTTAAAATCTATCTTAAACCCTGGCCAGGTGGTTCAGTTGGTTGGAGCATTTGTCCCATGCACCAAAAGGTTGCGGGTTCAATTCCCAGTCAGGGTACATGCCTGCATTGCAGGTTTGACCTCTAGTCAGGGTGGGTATGGGAGACAACCAAAGGATGTTTCTCTCTCTCCCTCATTTTCTCTCTTTCCCACTTCCTCTCTCTCTAACATCAATAGACATATCCTCCAGTGGGGATTTCAAAAACAAATAAACAAACAAATAAACCTGTCTTAAAAACATTTGTAGTAGTATCAAAGCGTTATTTATGCATGTTGTCCTACTTTTTGTTTGTAATTGGAGAATTGTAAAATTATTAATGATGATCCATTTCAAACTGTACTTAGCTGAAAGCTAAATAAATGTGGCAAAAATACTGTGTCAAATTCTGCCTATCTGAACTTTTTGTTTGTTTTTAAAGACTATTTTTTTAGGGTAGTTTTAGGTTCATAGCAAAATTGAGAGGAAGGTACAGACTTCCCACATACCCTCTGCCCCCTCATGCGTAGCCTCTCCCATTATCAACATTCCCCATCAGAGTGGCACATTTGTTACAATCGGTGAATTACATTGACACATCATAATTACCCAAAGTCCATAGTTTAAGGTTCACTGTTGGTTGGGGCAAATGTATAATGAGATATATCTATCATTATAGTATCATACAAAGTATTTTCACTGCTCTAAAAATTCTCGGTGCTCTATATACCCCTTCCCCTCCAACCTCTGGCAACCACTGATCTTTTTATTGTCTGCATAGTTTTACCTTTTCCAGAATGTCATATAGTTGGAATCATGCAGTGTGTAGCCTTTTAAGATGGGCTTCTTTTACTTAGTAATGCACATTTAAGGTTTCTTTGTGTCTGATAGGTCACCTCTTTTTAGTACCAAATATTATTACATTGTCAGGATGTACCACAGTTTATACAGCCATCTACTGAAGGCTATCTTGGTTGCTTTCAGGCTTTGACAAATATGAATAAAGCTATTATAAACACCAGGTCCTTGCTGGGTGGTTCAGTGGGTTAGAGCATTGGCCCGATAAGCTGAGGTTGCTGTCTTGATCCCTGGTCAGGGCATATACAAGAATCAACCCATGAATGCATAAGTAAGTGGAACACCAAATTGATGTCTCTCCCCACCTACCTCCAAATCAATTAAAAAAACCAAACACCTGCATGCCAGTTTTTGTGTGGATATAAATTTTCAACTCCTTTGGGTAAACACCAAGGAGCACAATTGCTGAATCATTTGGGAAGTATATGTTTACTTTTGGAAAAAACTGCCAAACTGTCTTCAAAGGTGGCTGTACCATTTTCTATTCCCACCAGCAATGAATCAATTTCTGTTCCACATCCTTCCTTGCCAAAATTTGATGTTGTCAGTGTTTAGGATTTTGGCTATTCTAATAGGTATTCTCATTGTTTTAATTTTGCATTTCCCTGTATGGAGCATCTTTTCATATGCTTTTTTGCTATCTGTATGTCTTCTTTGGGGAGGTACCTGTTATGGTTGTTGGCCCATTTTTAAATCAAGTTGCTTGTTTTCTTACTGTTCAGTTTTATGAGATTTTGTATATTTTGGGTAACAGTCCATTATCAGATATATCTTTTGCAAATATTTTTCACAGGTCATAGCTTGTCTTCTCATTCTCTTGACATTTTAAAGAGCAGTTGTTTTTAATTTTAATGAAGTTCAGCTTAGCAGTTATTTCTTCCATGGGTGGTGCCTTTGGTGTTGTATCTAAAAAGTCATTGCTCTAGTCAAGGTCATCTAGGTTTTCTCCTGTTCTAGGAATTTTATAGTTTTGCATTTTATATTTAGTTCTGTGATCCATTTTGAGTTTATTTTTGGTGAAGGTTGTAAGGTTTGTGTTTAACTTCATTTTTTTTAATGTGAAGGTCCAATTGTTCCAGCACCATTTGTTGTAGACTATGTTTATTCCATTGTATTTATTGCCTTTGTTCCTTTGTCAAAGATCACTTGACTGTATTTATATGTGCCTATTTCTGGGCTCTCTCTTCTGTTCTATCGATCTGTTTTCACCAATACCACTGTCTTGACTACCGTAAGCTTTATAGTAGGTCTTGAAGTCAGGCAGTGTCAGTCTTCCGGCCTTGCCCTTCTTCTTCACCATTGTGCTGGCTGTTCTGGGTCTTTTGCCTTTTCATATCAACTTTAAAATCAGTTTGTTGTAGGAAATAATTTGCTGGGGATTTTATTGGGATTGCATTCAGTGTATAGATCAAGTTGGGAAGAACTGACATCCTAACGAGTTTTCCTATTTGTGAACATAAAATCTCTTTCCATTTATTTAGATCTTCTTTGATTTTGTTTATCAGAGTTTTGTTAGTTTTCCTAGTGTAAACCTTACACTTTTTTTTTTTGGTTAGATTTATGCCTAAGCATTTCATTTTGGGGGGTTCTAATGTAAATGGTGCTGTTTTTAATTTTAAATTCCACTTGTTCATTGCTGGCATATTAAGAAAGCAATTGACTTTTGCATTTTAACTATGTATTCTGCAACCTTGCTATAATCCTGTTTTAGTAGACTTTTTAATGGATTGTTTTGGGTTTCCTACATAGATGATCATGTCATCTGTGAACAGATAGTTTTATGTCTTTCTTCCCAATCTGTACATCTTTTATTGTCTTATTGCATTAGCCAAACCTTCCAGTGTCATGTTGAAAAGGAGTGGGAAGAGGTGACATCCTTGCTTAGTGCCTGATCTTAGTGGAGAAGCTTTGAGTTTCTATGATGTTAGCTGTAGGTTTGGTGTAGGAATTCCTTATCAAAGTTGGGGAAGTTCCTACTCGTTCTAGTTTACTCAGAATTTTTAACATAAGTTTGTGTTGGATTTTGTCAACTGCTTTTATTGCATCTATCGATATGATCATATGACTTTTTTTTTAGCCTGTTGTGATCGATGACAATAATTGAGTTTTGAATGTTGAATTAGCCTTTTATACCTGGGATAGATCCTAATTGGTTATCTGGACTTTTTTTATAGTCCTAAAAGCAGAAGTTCAAATGATTTACTAAATTGGCTGATCCTAATGTATGAAAGGTTCAGTGTCAGAGATGTAGATATTCCTCTTCATATAAGAATCCAAAGTCAAGAGCACAGTCTTTATTATTGCAACACTCACAGATTTTGATGTCAAAAATTCATCTACAAAAGTTGTTCCCCACACCTTCATTATATGCCCACTACTCCAGTTCACTAAAATGAAGCTGAAACCTGTTGATTCATGTTTATGAATAAGCTTATTCTAGCATTATAAATACAGGGTGGGATGAAAGTAGGTTTACAGTTGTTCATGTAGAAAATAATACAATAATTAATAAATAATGTAAAAATAAACTCCTTGTTTTGTGTATTCACAACTATAAGATTACTTTTGTCTCACCCTGTATAAAAAACAGATCTCTGATTCAGCTTAAATAAACCTGGTGTCTTGCAATTTCAGTCTCATTGCAAACAAAAGAATCAATCCGATGAAGGACTGGCCCAAAGAGGAGAGGCATCCCTAACTTTGGCAGGCCCTAGGTCAGACTTCTTTGGAAAACTGTATGCCAGCAGCTGAGATACTGGGACAGTGCTCCTCTAGCATAACTCAAATCAGGATGCCATTTACATCTGTGTGGAAATAAATGGCCCTTGATTATTTGAATTGTGTCAGCATAGAGTGTAAGGTTGATGGGGAGAGAAGGCTGAATCTCCATCCCATTCTCTTTCACATTTTTTTCTGTGCAAAGAACCTGTTTCACAGGTAGCAAATTAGTGGCCCTAATTTGCAATTAGGGCTTCATATTTGCTCTGGGGAGTCTTTTGACCAGAGGACAAGATCTACTTTGCTCCACTTCTGGCTGTCTTGCTTGTTGGGAACTTAACCTCATGGAGCTGAGTCATACTTAAATCAACTGCAGCTACTTAACTTGGAATTGGTGCTTCATAGTCCCAACTTGTTTAGTTTTGCTTCCTGAGAGCACCTGGTATTCTTTCTCTCTCCCTGAATTATTTCCATTGAGATTAAAGATGCTGGAGACTCTTCTGGCATCTCATGAAATTAGAACTCCCACAGGAATGCTTCACGCTAGTGAAGTTTCCATAGTTCTTACATAATTTGTTCCAATAAAATTTATTCTCTAATACTTTCAAAAGCGCCTTGTTTTTTTTTTACTCATTGCAAAAATCTGTTCTTAATATGAAGACAATTTTTCTCCCTCTCATTGATGCACAAATTCCTATATGGTTCTCGGTGATAGCCAATCCCTTTTCAGGTGTTAGATGTTCCATCTGATAGAGATGAGCAGTTTTGGCATTACATGTGACCTCTGCTGTTGGGAACTGTTACCTCTCTGGTCATTTCCTTTTTTCACTGATTTTGTGTCCTACTGCTCTCAACACTCTAGTGGCTTGTTATAACCAGAAGACAACACTCTCTTCTCCAATTCTTGGTCCTTCCCAGCAGTGTCTGTGGTTTTTTATTTTTAAATAATCAACAGTCTGTACCAGAGGCTTCAGTGCTTGCACAACAGTAATCTCCTAAGAGGAGCCAACTCTATTAGGAGTTCTTCCCTGGTAGATGAAGCAGGGATGGAGTTTTGGATCAGTTCCCAGAAGACAGACTATGAACCTCCTTGTCCCTTCCAATACAGTTAAAAAAAATTTACATCTCCCGATTCTAGTTCCAACACCAACTTCCAAAGTCCACCCTCTCCTATGGCTCTGTGACTACCCTAATAAACTCAAAAACAATGAACTGATCTGGCTGTGAGTCCCTCCAAGGTATTTGAATTGATTTCAGAGTAGTTTCACACTAACCCTAATGATCTGTGTAGGGTTAATTTCTATTTCCCCAGACCATTTATCCAACGGTTTGGGATTCATGATGCAGATACTCTCCTGCTTGTTTCTGGAGTGAAGAATTAGTGAGGACTTACTATGAACCTTAGCTCAAAGGATCTCATGTTAAAAATAAAGGAAACTTGCATTCATCTGGTTTCTCCTACACTTTCTATCCTCATATGCTCTCCGCACAGCGTATTATTCCAAGCACAAAAACCAGCACCTCTTCAATAACTATATTAAAATGTTGTCCCATCGCCCTGGCCGGGTGGCTCAGTTGGTCGAGTGTCCTCCTGTACACCAAAGGGTTGTGGATTTGATTCCTGGTCAAGCCATGTACCTAGGTTGCAGGTTCAATCCCCAGTCTGGGTGCATGGGTAAGGTGGCAGATGGATGTTTCTCTCTAAAATCAATGACCATGTCCCCAGGTGAGGATAAGAAAAAAGTTGCCCCATCAAAATCTCCTGTGTTTTGTCATTTTGATGCTTTTGGTAATAGGGTTATCAATCACTATATACCCTTTTAGCATTTCCTTGGTCTCTAACCCACCTTGGCCGCTCTTCTCAAATAGTAAATAACTACCTGTCCATATGTCCTGGAGTAGCGGTCCCCACCCTTTTCGGCACCCAGTTTCGTGGAAGACACTTTTTCCAGGGACTGAGGAGAGGTAAGGGAGACGGGAGGCCGACGTCAGGCCGTAGTGCGAGCACTGTCTTATCGTAACCAGCTCCTAAAGACAATGTGGCCGCTCCCAGACTACTCCTACTTGGCGACCTCAACCAGAAAGGGCTTAGCAGCAGCGGCAGCCCCTTCAGAAGCCGCAGCACCCTAACTCGAGTACGGTGAGGAGCCCCGGAAGGCGGGGAGACCGCCCCGCCTCCCCGAGCTTCCGTTTCCGGCCCTTCAAGCTCCGCCTCAGCGGAAACGACTCTGTAAAGGGAGAGGGAGATGGGGGCGGGACGACGTGTCGACCACGCATGCGCATCTTGGCAGTTGCAATGGCGCTGCCGTGTTCCCTGAACAGGTATCTGCTGCTCCTGGCACAGGAGCACCTGGAATTCCGCCTGCCGGTGAGCCTGCAGAGCCCTCCGTAACTTCCGACCGGAGAGGACGGCGCGGTGGGGGTGGTGTGCGGACGGCGGAGTGCGGTGCAGCCGGAGGATGCTTGGGTCCGGGGGGCGTGCTATTTGGGAATATCACGCGTCCCCAGTGTTGCGGCCCCTGGGACGGTCACAACTATGTGAGAGAGTGGGAGAGAGGAGTTCGATGCACAGTGTCTCTCTCAGCCAGGCTAACACTTTCATTCATTCCGCTACCCGTGTGCCCTTTACCGGAGTTAGGTGAATATGACCGGTCCTCTTCCTCCGGGAGCTCTTCATTTAACGGAGAATAGACAGCCGACAGAAAAGCTCAGTCAGTGTTTTTAAGTATTAAACTGCTTACCAGACTGTGTGGGGAGGGTGGGTGGTGGTGGTGGGTGGTAGGAGTTGATGGAGAAGTTGGGAAAAGTATTGTTATTCATTCAAGAAACAGTTTCAGTACCTACAATTGCTCAGGACGCTGGAGATAAAACAGTAACAAAGACAGTTTCTATCTTCAAGCAGTTTATTGTTTAGGCAAAGGGGTGAGCAGATGCATAAATAAGTATTACGAAATAACGTTGGTAAGTGCAGTGATAGAGAGATGAGCAGGGAAATAGGAGAACATGTAGAAGGGATACCGAATCCATCTGAGGGGTGGGGAGATGTTGATATTTGAGATGGTTTCCATGAACCGTAACTAAAGAATGAGTAGCAGTTAGCCAGGCCAAGGAGAGAAATAAGTAAATTAAAATTACAAGTTATTGTTATTACTGGACTATGAAATAATGTAGCAGAGAGTGACAAGAAAAGAACAGGAGAGGTAAAAAGGGCCCAGAATATCCAAAGCCTTCAATATCTAGTTAGGGGTCTTTTGGAATAGCCTTAAGAAGGTTTGAATCAGGTCAAAGGGTAAGAGGATGGAATAAGCTGGGAAAATCGGTGATAAAATGATCAGGGCTTGATGATTGAATGTGGGGGGGAAGAAGGATAAATCACGGATGAGTCCTGGAGTGGATATAAGGGTGTCCTGGAGTGGATATAAGGGTGTCTCCATGTCAGGTACCACAGCCAGATGTAAGCTTTAAATTTTTGTTGTGCTGAATTTAATGTGCTTGAGTAACCTCAAGTGAAGATGACCCGGAGGCCATGAATAGGAACGTGAGTGTGCACAGAGTTGGTAGAATGGTCTGGGTAATAAACATCTGGGGCTCTTCTGCATATGAACACTAGGAGAGAAAGTGAAATGATTCAGAGAAAGCATAGCGGCAAAGAGTGAGAAGAGGAGGTCACGAAGGTAGGTAAGTGTCATAACAGGAAGGGTGTGAGGCCACAGAAAACTGGAGGTTCAAGTTTTAGGAATTTTGCTATAGCGGTTGTTAGAGTTGTTTTTGTGGGGTGGGGGCTAGATGACTTGGTTTAGTGGACATGAAAAGTGAGGAAGGGGAGATAGAGCAGTGCTCTTAATTAGAGCATAATAGAGCATAAAAAGGGAAAGTACAGATAGTTAGCAGTTTCAGGCTCCCCCCGCCCCGGGCAGAAGAAGGCCTTGGTCTTTCCATGGAAATGGAGAGGGCAGAGGATGAGTGTGGGTGGGTAGCTGTTCTAGGGCCTGTTTTTTATGTTATGAGAAAGTCAGGGTTATTTCTTGAGAGATGCGGGACAAAGCAGTTTCATGGAGGAACTGAGAAAAATGGTATGGTGTTGAACAGGTAGATCATTAACTCACTTCCTGTTTTTAAATCCTCATTTAGGATATGTTTATTGATTTAGAGAGAGAAAGGGAGAAAGACATCCACTAGTTCCTCCTACAGGACTAGGACTACTCCCTGACTAGGGATCTAACCCTCCACCTAGGTGTGTGTCCTGATTCAGAATTGAATGTACAACCTTCTAGTGCATGGGACGATACTCCAACCATAGCCAGGGCATCAACCCACTCTTTTTATTTTTAATTGTATTATATCTGTATCTTTTAATAGACTTTTACTTCCGTGTATTAAAATGTATTCTCTCTATAATATTTTCAATATAGGAAATAAAATCTTTGCTTTCACTCTTTGGAGGTCAGTTCACCAATAGTCAGGAAACTTACGGAAAGGTAAGTTGAATTTATATCTTTCATTAGAGCATATGCAATATATTTATAAATTGAACATTGGATTTGAAGAGAACTGCAAATCTTAAATTTATATTTATATGGTTACTTGTAGTTCTTCCTAGGGGCAATTGAATGAAAAGCATATTTTGGAAAAAATATTGTGGTTTTGGGGAAATGATTGAGATATATTTCCAGTATTTATTTATCTCATTGGTTTATAAACTTTAACAATTGTGCTTTAATTAGTATCCGTTCCTTCACTGAAAAAAGGACTGGCTTTCTTTGATGAGATATAATTAGAGCTAGAATTTAGTAGAATTTCAGGCATTTATTGGTATTCTTTTTAAAGTTTGAAATTGTGCATTATAAATTTATGAGCTTTCTATTTTGTATTTGACAGTTTATTAGTGTCTTAGAGAAGTTTGGAAATAGAAAAGAAATAAAACCATAACTGTTCTTCCTTGACATGACTTATAATTTCAGGATAACTGCCTTCCAGTCTTTTTTCATAGATTCCTTCTCCCCAACCCCAGTTGTAATGGTACTTATGAACTTCCATAGTCTCTTTTTCACTTGGTTTTAGTAATATGAGCACGTATTGCTACATAGCCTTCATCACTAGTAGGCTATATATTTTCCATTTGTTACCTCTATTATAATTTAATAGTTTCATTTCATTCAGGTTGCTTTTAAATTTTCCTGATAATAATAGTACTAGGATGATTATCTTTTTTCCTCTCTAAATTATTTTGAATTTTTTTTGTAGGGTGCTATGAATACTGGTAGAAGAAAGACTAGGTGTGGCAGGGAGCATTTCTTGAAAAACATGAGAGAAAAGGTTCCTGATGTTAGAGTAGTACTCCTGAGTGACTTTCACTTGTTGAGAAAGGAGGATAAGAAGGGGAGTGTGGCTATAATTGAATGAGGGTGATGAACTAAGGTCAGGGTCCTACTAGGTTTTGCTGTATTCTGGAAAAATGCCTGTAATTTAGATCGTGAGGTGGGGGTTGGGGAGAAATCCCTCTGATGCACCTACAACTTTTTTTTCTTAGCTAGAATAAAAAAAAAATCATAATTTATTATTTATCCTATTCCATTATTTAGGATAAATAATATCCTACTTATCTTATTATTTAGGATATTATTTATCCTATTCCATAGTTATTTCAGAGCTCCCCCCACCCAACTCAGGTGGCCACAACTACCTAGAAAAAGAGGAATTATTCATAGAAGTACCTTACTTAGAAATTAGAAATAAAATAGGTAAATTATAAGGAATGATTAGCAACAATGAAAATTTTGAGATTACACTTTGGGATTTTTATGCATTAATTATTTTGGTCAAACTACATAACAGAGCAACTATAAAATTAACCTAAATTTTAAACAACTGTAAATTTATTGATATTTTTATTTATAGAATCACTTATAAAAGTGTTCTGACATTATGCTATAGTATCCTGACAGATGACCTATTAAAAAATTGACTTTTTTTTACTATGAGAACAGTTTTAATTGTGGTTAGATCACATATGATCTAAAAGTAGCAATTAGGAATTTGCTACTTTCCTTATGGACTTCTTGAATAAAAGTATATGAGGCCATAAAACCTCTTAGAAGTTCAATATTGTTTTTTCTTTCAGTCTCCTTTTTGGATTCTTAGTATTCCCTCTGAAGATATTGCCAGAAACTTAATGAAACGGACAGTGTGTGCCAAGTAAGGAAAACTTATAATGCTCTCCTCCATGAGTGTATACCATACTTCTCATAACTACTCTGTCCTACTTTTTGCTATATTGACACAAAGTAGAAGGGGTTGGTTGTTGGGGTGGGGGTCAGTTTAGCTTGCAGTTACCTGCATTGGCCACTGGATTGGGGTGGGGGAACAGGAGAGTTACCTGCTGAACTGGTGAGAGAATCTCCGTGGTGAAAGGCAAACACACTTATTTTGGAATAACTTTTAAACTTCTTTACTAAGCAGGATATGGTATAAGATGTAAATGCTATGCTATTACATAGGATAAATGCCATGGTTAATTATAACCAAAATGTTGAAAATCTTAAAAAGGTTTTTCTTATAGATGGTTTTTAGTTGGATGAGCAAACGGGTGAAGTGTAAGGTGGCAGGCAAAAAGTGAGAACTGCCATGAAATAAGTTTTACAGTTTTAATGTGTTAGAGCAGTTCTGATAATCACAGTTTGGTGTGGATTAAGGTAATTATATTGTTCAATGTTTATCCTACTTGGGTGTTTTCTAGAATTTATCATTGACATCTGTTGTTGCTTTCCTTTCCTTTTTTTAAATTTTAAAATTGGAAAAATTTCTATCTTTGACTTTGAAAATCAAACTGTATTTTCCACATGCATCTTCAAATTTGACCTTATGTTATCTTTGAATTACTTTTTTTCTGAACATTTTGACAGATTACTAAGTGCCATCTTTCCTTAGAAATTATAATATTTAATGATGCAGTGCAAGTGCACATTTACGTATACCTAGTTTCATGAACATGGTTGGCAGTGTTTTCATAGCATGATATGTAATTGCTGTATTATTGGATAGACTCTAACCCCATATTTAGTTAAATTCGTCCTGTTGAAAACCAGCTACAGTACTAAATCTTATCTCTTGAACTGAAGCTTGGGTCTAACTTATTTAATAAAAATGACTAGAAAATGGAAACATAACTAAAAAAAATAGACCCTTAATCATTACTTTAGATTAGTATATTAGAAGTTATGGCTCTAAGAGGTGTTTGATTTCCAAATATATGGTTTATTAGGTTTAAAATAGATACTTGTACACTTGCTTCAGAGTTCATATCTTCTGATGCATATATTTGATAAATGGTAAAATTAATAATTGTGTAATGATTATACAAATTGTATAATAATTTCTTTGGCTGCTTTTTATTCTCTGTGTATTTTGCATGGCTGAGGTTATACTTTAACTGATAGCTAACTAAGAGTAGTATTACTACTCTTAGTAATAAATTACTACTCTTTTCTATAAATTTAATGGAAAGAAAAGGAGGAATTCATTTTCAAAGGGTAAAATTTACCATCCTGTTGTGGCATTAATTGTTCCAGAACTAAAATAGACTATCATAAGCATAGATTTAAAACTAACTTAAATTCAGTTTTTTTGTGTGTGGTAGAATAGGTATTGAAAGTTAATTTTGTTAATTTATTTTTAACATGTACTATTTTGAGCATACCATTAAAAAGTGAAAAATATAACAAACATCTAGGTATCTACATTATTAGATATCAACATTTTGAGATACTTCCCACAATTTTTTTCCCCTTAAGAAAATACATGTTTTACAGAAACCATTGATGCTCCCTGTGCACCTTCCCAGTTCCATCTGCCTCCTTCCCTCAAAAGATAGTTTCTTAATGCTTTTTTATCAGGGCGATTATATTATACTGGTCTAATTGGTGAAATAGTTTAGATCATCATTGATTTTATGTTAATGAGTTGACATCCAAGCTTATTTATGTGCACCCATGAGAAATGTAGCAATCGGCATAAACTTTATAATTTCTCAAATAGGGACCATAACAGTGCAGTCTTACGTATGAAAACTTTTGACTCTGAAAATCTAAATCATAAAAGGCATTACAGTAAATTAATATTCAGTTTAACTGAAGCTTTTTGTCTAAATTTTATTTCGAACATTTTAAATATAAATTTGTGAATAGTTTATGGATTCTTTCTGTAAAAAAGATATGAGTGTTATTTCATGTTTTATTGACTCTAGGTTATTACAAGCATTAGTTCCTATGTTATACTGTGCAGTAGTTCATTAGGGGTAATTAAGATCTGTGGAACTGCACCCACCTTTCCTGAATGGCCTGGGATTCCTGATTTTTTGTGTTTTTGAGAAGCAGTGATAAAGAACATGGAATCTGGAGTCACATGGCTTGAATTTGAACCCCAGTTTCAGTTCCATATGACCTGAGAGTTATTTAATCTCTTTGTGCCTCCGTTTCCTCATTGTTTAAATGGATGATAATTTCAGCAGCTACCTCATAGGGCTCCTATAAGTAATAAATATTAAATGGCCTTAGAATAGCCCTTGTTCTTTGAGTTATATTAAGCGTTAGCTCTTACTATTTTTACTTTTCAAGGTTTTTCATTTCCAGAGATTGTGTTACTTATGCTTTCCTTCAGTGAATGCTTCCAGGAGTCTTTCTTCTCCCTTAACTTTCACAAATACATTGAGCTTTGCTCTTTGCAACATCCTAGTACCTGGAACAATTCCTGTCATGTAGTAATCCTTTAAAAAAATATTTTATTTATTTTTAGAGAGAGGGCAAGGGAGGGAGAAGATGAGGGAGAGTAACATCAATGTGGGGTTGCCTCTTGTGTGCCCCCTACTTGGGGACCTGGCCCACAACCCAGGCATGTGCCCTGACTGGGAATCGAACCAGTGACCCTTTGGTTCACAGGCCTGCACTTAATCCACTGAGCTACACCAGCCAGGGCTACTAATCCTTAATAAGGATTTATTAAATGAGTGAATTGACCAAACTTAATTTTTAAACATTAGGAAAAAGAAATTGAATACCTGGAGTTTTGGGACATTTATTTTGAATGATTTTTTGTTATTTCTTTTTATACTCTCTGTGTTTTGTATAGCTGAGGTTATACCTTAAGTGATAGCTGTGTAAGAGTAGGATTACTGTAGAGGCCTTCTTTCTGTAAATTCAATATGAAGGAAAGGAGGAATTCATTTTCAAAGGATGTTCTCAGTTCAAATGGCAGTGTTAGAAGCATAAAGCAATGCTAATATATAGACCGACTTCTATTATGACTGATTCTAAGAACTGTTTCTCTGATTTGCAATGAAATATTGCTTGTAATTGTTTAACTATTCATTAAAATACATGGTAGCCTGAAAATATTTTTATGTGAGAATTTTCTGTAACAGTTATAAATGTAATTGTTCATTACTAAATGCTACTAATTAATAGATAAATATTAATAGTAACATTTTTATCTGGTCATTTTTCCTTTTATAGAGAAGACATTGGGAAAATTAGATTTCCTGAATTAGATTCACCTGTTTACTAAAATAACTTAAGTGATTTTACTACATCATTTTTGTTCTAGTACAAAATATAATGATGAAAAGTTGGAAAAATCTTGACTTATGCTAAATTTCTCTCCTTATGTGTAAAGTTCAACTCCTCTTTGTGATTTGGACTTAAGCTATATTTGTTCCCAGGATACATATTTCTCATTTATAGCTTAGAAAACACAGGCAGTGGAGTGAGCATAAAAAATAGTGAAATCGTTGTTACACGTTACTGTGTTAACTAATTTCTTAATTGAGGTTAGTACTAATCATTTATTTCCTAGGTCCATATTTGAACTATGGGGTCATGGAAAATCTCCAGAAGAGCTGTATAGTTCTCTTAAAAACTACCCTGTGGAGAAGATGGTGCGTAATGAAATGTGTTTTTATATAATTTGTCTGCAGATACTATAGAATGACTAAGCTTAAAGAATTTATCTGCTTTTATTTTAGGTTCCATTTCTACATTCAGGTTCTACATATAAAATAAAGATTCACACATTTAATAAAACATTGACACAAGAAGAAAAAGTGAAACGAATAGATGTAAGTGAATTTAGCAAAAACCGAACGCCTGTGAGAGGAATGCAGTCTGGCCCCCGCGGACCTGCAGTGGTGCGCGGTGTCTGCAAAGCGCCTGTTTTGTAGCACGCTGTGTGCTAGGGCCGCTTCATGCTTTTTCTTATTTAATCCTGATACCAAGCTTATAAAATAGGTATTATTCTATAAGCATTATTTTTCCTTTTAAACTTTTACAGGACATTAGAATTACTTTTATTTTGTAGGCTCTTGAGTTCCTGCCATTTGAAGGAAAGGTGAATTTAAAGAATCCGCAGCATATCTTCTCCGTTTTGGAGGATTACGGTTTGGACCCAAACTGCATTCCTGAGAATCCACATAATATTTATTTTGGTAGATGGGTAAGGAAGTGTTCTTTTTACCTATTTTAGTTTATTTTCTTTCAAAGCTAAATGTTAGGTCTTTTTATTTAACTCTAGATGTGGAACTTTATAGCAGCTGAAGAGTCAGAACTGTATGAATTCAAGTCGGTGAAAAAGATGGTTATGTGTTTTCTTTGGTTTTCTTTGTTTTTCTAGATACTCCTGTGTAGTGCAAGAGATTGTTAGACATAGGGCTTGCGGGGGGGGGGGGCGGGGGGTGTACCTGGGATCATTAGCATAAGACTTGTCAGAAAGTCTGAACTGCTTTTTTCATAAAGCTGAGCAAGGGCAGAGTTCCGTGATGGCTGAGGGATCTCACATGTGGAGCTCTCCAGTCTGGGTGTCTATTCTGTAAAGGAATGACATGCACAGCAGTTCTGCCCACTTCCTGGAGGCCCTCAGTCGCCGAGTGGAAGCTGTGGCTTATGTTACAGAATGTTGTTATTAAGGGAAAAAAGATGGACAAATCTTACCAATCTTGAACCCCTGGAATAATTGCATTCAAATTTAATTTAAATTTGGTATGAAAAGTCAAAGTAAATGACAGCACGAAGAAATAAAAGGTATTTGTCTCTAACTACCTCAATCGCATATTTTTTTAAAGGAACAAGTCTAGAGCAGTAGTAAGTGGAAGGAAGTTTTCATCATTGAGATACTGTGGTGGTTTTATTGTGAATGAGTATCTTAAATCTGTTCTGTACAGTTATACCAATTTGAAAAAATATCTCTGATCTAGATTGCAGATGGACAAAGAGAACTTATTGAGTCATACAGTGTCAAAAAGAGACACTTTATTGGAAATACAAGCATGGATGCTGGTTTATCATTCATCATGGCCAACCATGGGAAAGTGAAAGAAAATGATATTGTCTTTGATCCATTTGTTGGAACAGGTATTTTTTATTTAACTTTAAAAGCTAGTATAGAAGTTAGTATAGCTTGTTTATGTAAGTCAAAGTGATAGTAATATTTTTGCCAAAAGATTAAATGGACAGAATAACCTTTCATTTATCACTAGTAGTGGCTAAGAGGCAACCACATATTTGTGTAATAGCCAGTTTGCCACTTCAAAGGCGATGCTTATAGAAATTTGTGTTTTTTTCCTAAGTAAACCACCAGGGGGAAGCATATCATACACTGTAGTATCATACATTATGGAAAGGTAAATCTAGCTATGTAGTTAAATAGGACAATTCTTGGTGGGAAGGAAGACTTGAGTGACAGAAAAAATGTGTCAAGTGACAGAAAAAATGTGTTCATCTGTTAAAATGGACAACCAAATACTCAGATGGAGAAAAATAGTTAGCCTGCCTTATCTTTGGTTTGGTTTGTGGAGGTTTATAAGCAAGTATGAAAGAAAGAACTGCACTAAGTGTCAGTGGGCTAGCAGCTGGCTGCAGAGGCCATGATCTGGGTTCTGTGCACATTTGATTGGGTATTGTTGTAATTACATTTGTATGGGAGTGCTGCAGTTCTTAGTGTACTTCGTCTGACCCTGTGCATACATGTTCTTGCTTCACCCCGTGTTTGCTCAGTCTTCTCCTTAACCTAGGGAGTGCTTATATTTAGGTTTGTCTGGCTAAATTCATTGTGATTCAGATTGTGTGGGAACAAGTTAGGCTTGTGGTTGCAGTTTCTCCCTGTAGCCAGCCATCTTTGCCCATCAGAAACTTTGTAAACAAGGATGATGTAATTGCTAACATTTGTTGAACAGTAATATATCAGGTACTGTAGTATGCACTCTGATGTTTCTGTCTAATTTAATTCTTACAACAACTAACATGGAGATGGTTTTTAAAATCTTCCTGAGGAGATTATGGCACAAAGAGAGGCTCAGTGACTTAGCCAAGGTTATCCGGTGTATAATTTTGATGAGATTCAAACTCACCTGTCAACCTCTAGAGCTCGTTGCATTAGGATGTGCCAGCCAGCTATTAATTATACCATTAACTAATTTGAGGACTATGACTACATGTGATTAGGAAGAATTTGTATCAAAAGTCAAGAGAGATCTTTCTGATATAATGATTTTCTGTGTTTGTTGTTGAATAAATCTTCTAGTAAATCTCTCTTTTCCCATTCCACGTTGTCTGCATATATCCCACCCTCAACATACTGTACTACCTGTTCCTTTCTTTTCTGTCCTCCTTATCCTAAGTGTCTTCCACAACTTTTTGAACTTTTATTGGAAATAAAACCAAACTTAGAGAAAAGTAACAAGAATAAAAATGGAACAAAGAACACCTGCATATTCTTGACCCAGTGTAGACTGTTAACATTTGGCTTCATTTGCTTTATCATTCATTTTCTCTTTATGTTTATATACATAATTTTTTTCTGCACCATTTGGAAGTATGTTCTGTCCGTCATGTCACTTTACCCCTCAAATACTTCAGTATATATTTCTTAAGAATAAGAATGTTCACTTATGTAACCACACTACAGTTTTCATTGTTAGTAAATGTACTGTAATATAGTACTTTAATGTTTATACTCCATTTTTGTTCATTGATCTACTCATGTCCTTTTAAATATTCCTATTTTCTTTCCAGTGTAGCACCAGGTATTTTGTTGTTAGTGTTTCTTTGATTCCTTTGATATGGAACATATCCAAAGCCTTTTCTGTTATGAAATCTGCCCTCTTGAAGAATACTATTCCTCCTACCTTTATTTTTTATATAGCATGTTCCTCATTTTGGGTCATTTGATATTGCCTCATGATTAGACTCCGCTTACGCATTCCCAGATGGGTTGCATATATACATCAGTGATTTTGTGTCCTTCTCAGGGCACCCACACAATGGCTGACTGCCCTCATTGGAAATGTTGGTTTTGATCAGCTGGTTAAGATTATGTTTGATATTTTCACTGTTTGATTACTCATTCTTCTCCCTTGCAGTTAATAGGTAATCTTTAGGGAGACACACTAAGACCATGTCAATATGCTGTTCTGCATCCAAATCCCCCCTTGCTCCTGGCAGGTTGTCAGGTTTTGGCATCCTGTCAACAGTTGATGATTCTTGCTGGAACCAGTCTTGACTTTGGTGGTCACAAAGTCATGATTTTTCAGCACTTCCTCCACATTTACCAGTTTGCAGTCACTCTATTCTTTATTGTAAATAAGAGCCCTTTCTCCTCCCCTATGTATTTATCTTATATTAATATGAACTACTGGATTCACTTTCCTGTCCCCAGTAGTCTATAATTCATTCCTTTTAAAATGATTTTGTTGCTCAAATTATCCCATATTTGCCTACTGAGAACTCTTTTGCATTGGATCTGTTTTAGTGACATTTTCCTTTCTTCTTCTTTTTTCTTTCTTCTTCTTTTTTCTTCTTCTTTTAGCATTTCCTTACTTCTTGGCTCATATTCTACCTGGTCACATTGTGGAATCAGTCACTTCTCCAAGGAACTCTTGTTTCTCTTAGTGGGGAATGGTACTAGAAACCAAGATACAGGTGCTGGGTATCTTTGTTTCTAGACTTTTTCAGCAGACAAGCTAGCAAATAAATGTGTGTATATACACAACTGTGGGGGAGCTTTGTCCAGCAGAGCCCCTGGCCGTTGAAAATGAAAATAAGTCTACCAAGACATGATCTGCTTGGGGAGGAAAGGTGGCTGATCTCTGAAAGGAGAAGGGCCAGGAGCTTGTTCCTCAATGGGCTTTTACTGGGTTTAGTTTGTACAGGAATACAGGTAAAGCTCATCAGTCATTGTCGGGCAATAATGATCAAACAATAGATAGCATACAGAGAACTATGAGGGCTTATTCTGAGTTAAGATCAGTTAGCTAGAGGGCAATAAAACTTTGGGAAACAAACTCATTTCACGCTTGGACCCTTCTCAAAAAATTGAGGACATTCTTTGCAGAGCAGGTTTCACAGGATTTTATGCATTCTTAGGCCTGACTGCCCTAGGGAACTGCCTAGTCCTGCCCTGGGCTGCACCGCCCTCTGGCATTGTTTCAGGCTTAAGTCAGGCAGGGGAAGTAAGGCAGCCAAGAGATTAGGAGACTTCTCACAGACAGAATGAGGACTCAGGCTATGTTAAAGCCAAGGGGTGAGGGTCCATCAGCCCCTTTTTCTGTAGCCCCCCAAGTCCTTTCCTGAGGGCCCCTTCATGACCGTGCCTGTCTTAGGTGGTCCCTCCCTTAAGGAATCTTAGACCAGGGCCAAGCAGGGTGAAGTAAAAGGGGGCAGAAGTGGCACCCCTGCCAGGAAGATAAGCTTTGTCTCCTTAGTGATTTATAGTCCCAAGGTCTCTCACTCAGCCTTAGCCATGGGGTGTTACAGCTTCTGAATCCAGGCAGGGTGGTTACCAACATACAACATGTATGTAAATGTGTATACAAACACATGCATATGTTCCTGCATATGTACTATGTGTACACAGACATACATATACACATTTTAGAAATTGTGAATCCTTATGTATACCACAAACTCAAGTCTTTCCTTACAGATTTCTTTCGTGCCTACCCCATTGCACATTCACATGTAGCTTCCACAGTGAGAACCCTGGTTCCTACCAACGTCAACCCACTTACTCTTTTAATTCCTACAATGCATCTAAAATAATTTCAAAGTTCCTTTGTTCATACCACTAAAAAATCTTACTAGAAAAAAAAATTTAGGGTATGTATTCAGTCCTCTACTCTGTGAAATGGTCATTAAAGTCAAAGGTTGTGCTTTCTTCTTTTTCCCCTTCATTTAAAATTGACTTGAGTTTATCAGTTTGCCCTCAGCTTTAGATTGTTACCCATCCCGTTCTTGTTGTTTTTTTTTTAAAGATTTTATTTATTTATTTTTAGAGAGGGAAGGGAGGGAGAAAGAGAGAGAGAGAGAAACATCAATGTGCAGTTGCTGGGGGTCATGGCCTGCAACCCAGGCATGTACCCTGACTGGGAATCGAACTTGCGACACTTTGGTTCACAGTCTGCGCTCAATCCACTGAGCTACGCCAGCCAGGGCTCTTGTTAGTTTTCATTAATTTTTAAATATGCAGAAGATCAATATGCTTCCAAAACTCAGAACTGTGCAAGAAGGTGTGCTCAGAGAAGTGTTCCTCCCTTTCATCCTACTTCCCCATCCATTCTTGGAAACCAGCTTTTCAGTTTGTTAAGTTGATTCTTCTTGTGTGTGTTTTTTGTAATGATAAGCAGATATATGTACATTTTATTTCCACCTCTTTCTTGCACAAAAGATAGCATAATAAATGTTTTTAAATTTGCAAATTTACTTAATATTTTCTGGAAATCACTTCATATTTATTCATAGAGATTTTCTTCATCTTTTTATTCCCCATCCATTCCCCAGCTTTCTCCTCTTTGACCATCAGTTTCTTCTCTGTATCTTTCATTCTTTTTTATAATTGTACTCCATGGGTGTATGTACTGTAATATATTCAAACAGTTTCCTATACTTGGACCTTGGGTAGTTTCTAGTATTTTACAGTTAGAAATAATGTTTGTAACGAATAATCTTGTACACTTATATTTTCACAATTTTGGAGATGTATCTCTAGAGTAAATTTCTGGAAGTTGGGTTGCTGGGTTGAAGAGTGTATGCGTACATAGTTCTGTTAAATATTGCTAAGTTCCTCTCCATTATGCCATTTTACATTCTTGCCAGCGATACGTGAGCATCCCTGTTCCCCCATGGCCTCACCAACAGAGTATATCATGAAGCTTTTGAAATTCTGCCTTTCTATTGGGTAAAAATGTTATCTTAATGTACTGTTAGTTTGTATTTCTCTTATTGTGAGTGAAGTCTAATAAGTTTTTATATTTTAAGGGCCATTCTTATAACTATAACTTTTTTCAATTATCTTTTGTGTCTTTTGCCCATTTTTTTGGTAGACATTTTGGTCTCAGTTTGGTCAAAGTACTTCGTGTGTTGGGGACATTAGCCCTCTCTGTACATATAAAAATACTTGCATATAACATTTTATATTATAATACATATAAAATATTTTCTCCCAGTTTCCATTCATCCTTTGATTTAGCATCTAATTACTTTTTGCCATGCAAAAAAGATTTTCTGCATCCAATTTGTAAAGGAATTGAACTATGTATTTGGCTGGTAGTTTTGTAAACTTAGTTTTTCCTTTTATTTTTTTAAAAGGTTTTATTTTTTAGGGGAGAAGCAAGGGAGAAAGAGAGGGAGAGAAACATCAATAGGTTGTCTATCGTATGCCTTAAATTTTCCTTTTAGATCTCTGGTCCATTGTGAGTTTATTTTCTGTACAATGTTTGGAATATATGTAATTTATCTTTTTCCTAATGCTAAATCCTTTATTAATCATTAATCTTGTTCTTAGACTTTTAAAAACTTTCTGTGAGGTGAGAATAATTCTTTGAGATACACACATGTATATAATGTTTAATATGCACACATACAAGTAGGCCAGGCCATAAAGTTTAAAAATACAGTTTCCAGTAGAAATAAAGATTTCTTCCCTTCATGCAGATTAGGCCGGGTACATTGTGAAGTGCTAACTCCCACAGCAAGCAGAGTCTTTGATACTACCTTTGTTTTGGTAATGGGTGAGGAGCCCTGCCCCTGAACTGCTTTGGGGCAGCTCCTGAACGGGGGTAGTCTATCCTGGTCATTTGACTGTTTATGTATAAATAGTACAGTTAATGGAAAATTGCAAGAGGAAGTTCTTTACAAAAATGCTGCTAAAATACATTGTGTAATTTGTGTTTATAGTTCAGGCATAGGTTTTGGACTTTAGTTAGTTGTTGGTGCTTTTGTTTTAAAACTGGTAGTAGCCAATAGCCACGAAGACACGGTTCTTAAGCACAGCTTGTCCCCTTTCTTGGGCCTTTTGTCTCACTGATATGTAGTACTCTCTGAAGGATTAGAGAAATAAGAATCCCTGTGCCCTCCATGGCTGTAATTTTTCACAAAGCATTTGATTTTTTTTGTTTCCTTTTTTTAGTAATTTTTTGAAAATTCAAGACTCTCCAATCCCTTTTTCATGTTAAAGGTACAAAGTTGACATATATTAGTTTCCTAAATGCTTTACTCACTGACTGCTTATGACCTGGGATTTTTCTCAGGATTATAGGCTAGAGTGGAAAGCGTCTGGTGAACTGAAAGGAGAGATGTAATCTTTTCCCACCCAAATACCTTTCCTTTTTCTGTTAGTCTGCTGCATTTGTTAGAAGGACATTATGAGCTACAGAAACACACTTTTCTTTCCATTGGTGATTCTCATTTTAGTAAGATTTTATTTGAGTTGTGTATATCCAATTACCTGATGGGGAAGATACATATCACTGGGTTACTTCTCAGTGGTTAGTGTGCGGACGTCCTGCTGTTCTAAGATGAGTGTGGCTAAAGGAACGATCAGCAGGAATGTGTTGAATGCCTACAGAGGCACAGGCCTGCCTGTGATGTGGCACAAGGCTTGTGAATGGTTTACAGCTCTTGTTAACTGAGTGTGCAGCTTTACTTAATTTATTTGTTTAATAACAGATTCACTTTTGTGTCTCTAATTGGTTAGCTAAAGTATATTTACTTCAGTTTCTGCTGACCCCAAAGGGGACATATGGCATAGACTACCATGAGAGCAAAGAGTTTTAAATCCTTACTCTGTCAATTACTGTGTGACCTTGGACGGAAGTGAGGCCCAGGCCTCACTTCTATCATTTGTAATATGGTAATAAGTAACATATAGTTAAAAACACACTTTTGTGAAACTTTCCACTTAGATCTCTAAAGGTGAGAATCATAAATTAATTTATCATAAATAAATTCCACTTACTGTGTTTTTTTGCCTGTACAGTATTACCCTAACCTTAACTGGTTGCTATTTAAGAAATTATAGATTAAAACCCTGAGTTTGTGGTGCTTTTACACCTGACAGCATATAATAGGATATCAGGTGAGTCACATTACCTGCCCCCTTACCACCCCTTCTTCCCCCAGAAAGCTTCCAGGAAACTCCAGCTGAGGTATAATAAATCAAAAAATGCTTCGATTTAGTGGGAAAAAAACAACTAGATGATTTTCTGTGATTACCCAGAGTTCAGAGAAGCTAATTTATAATGATTTTATTTACAACTTTAAAAGCTTAGAGGGCACAAAGTTAACTAACAGATGCAGTCTAACAGATTATTCATCTCCTTTCAGCAGTGTACTCTAAATTGGGTCTTCTCAAAACTCAGTCTAACCAAACGGATAAGGGTCTGTTTAAGGAAGCACAGGAAAGCTTTTCTGTTCCCCTTGACAACTAGTTCTTCTAGGTGAGTATCTGCCTTAATTGGCAGAACTGTAGTAATTCCTCTTAATTTGGGTGAAGTGTTTTCTCAGCATTCCAAGTGATCACACACAGTACCTTTCCCAGATAGGGAGTGTTCCCTTGATGGAGTAAGAATTAGGACGTCTTCCTTACCTTACCCCACACAAATGCTTTTGTAGTTAGTATGAAGAAATCCGGGTGTTAGTTTTTACTGTACCTTTAGTCCTGCATTTCTTTTCTTCGTGGACTCTGATAGGAAGCAGTCAGTAACAGTATTTTCCATGAGAAAAGTATGTGTAAGTACATGTCACCAGACTATGTATTTAAATGGCTATGGGAGGAACAGTGGTCATTTACAGATCTTCACCCTCTGGAGGCACTACCCATATCTTTATTTTAGAGATTACATTCCAAAAGATATAAGGGAAGTAGCTCTGGTTATTTCCCTTGTCCAGGTCTGTGCACAGTCTAAGAGTATATTTTTGACTCCAGTTTGACTGACAGACTTTCCTGTAGAATAACTAGTAAGACTTGCCCAAACAGTAAGTGTATTTTAATTTGGATGATTAAAAAAAGTGAAGTTCAATGAAAGTAAAATTAAAGTATTTTAATTTTGTGAATTTTAGAAAACACTTAAAAAATAGTATTACTTTTTATTTTGGAGGATTTATTAATTTTTTTTAATCTTCATTAGGATTTTTCTTTGTATGTGAGCTGCTCACAACTTCCAGATTACTTGGTCCTGTCAAATTGTATCACGTTTTTACATTATCAGAGCACTGAGCAACAGAAAAGTCATTGTGTTAATTGCTTTTTTGTATGTTTCATAATAGTTACTCAGAAATTTATATTTCCATTTTTAAAATGAGATCATTGCCTCACTGGTTATAGAAATAACTATCTCTTTTCCTAATATTTAAATTATTATAAGGATTAACGTCTTACATGTTCATTATTCCTTCTTAAGTAACACGAAACTCTGTGACTTTGGTGGGAATTGAGCCCAGTTGTCAGACCTCATTTATTACCAGCTCTGTGTAGCAGCCGTACAAGGTCCTTTGTGAAAAAGGAACAAGATGCTTTGTATAAATCTCTCAAAATGAGATGGAAATACTGTCTAAATGTACCTTATTTTGAACCCCCCAAAGATAATTTTCTATAAGTATTGTTGTTTAAAGTAATGATGTCAACTCATACATTAATTGCCTGCTCTGTGACCACTGTAGGGAGCATAGCTTCGGGTAGGTTTTCAGTTCTGAGGCCTGCTAAATGTGTCCAGGACCAGTGCCATAGGGTGCTGTGCCTGTAGCTGGTTTGTAAGAATCTGGATCAGATTAAATAGGGGCAGAAACAAGAGTCTGGCACGTTCTGGTTAACACGTCATAATTGTGTGATTTTTTCAGGTGGCCTTCTGGTGGCATCTGCTCATTTTGGTGCGTATGTGTGTGGGACAGACATAGACTACAACACGGTCCACGGCTTGGGTGAGTAGCGGGCCTGGGCAGTGTTAAAGCCTTTGCCCTTGTACCAGATGAGCCTTTAAAATAATGAAGTGGTTTTATATGGCATTATACATCTATTTTTCATGTTAAGATACTGAGTTGTGATGTTGTATAGTTTTACTTATTTTTACAATAAGACTTCACTGGGTATCTGCTTTTTACGAAGTAATCCAGTGTGCAAAGTACTCTCCTGGGGAAACAGTGATGAATAAGAAAAAACCCTCCCTTAAGAGGTTTTGTGGTCTTAGTAAGAGAGATTTTTTAAAAATAGGCAAACTGTAAGGTCGTGAACTTTAGGACTGGAAGAGAAGAAGCGGGAGAGTGGGACTCTCCATTTTGTGATTAGCATGTCCATGCTAGTAAAACACTGTTTCTATTCAAAGATGCCTGCTTTTGAGGGAATTTTGGAAACTGGTTTAAAATATGGAAGCTTTGCTGATCATATGTTACTCAGTGGAATTAAACTGAAAAAGTATTTCCTTGTAGCTGAACAGTATTAAAAATGTCAGATTTCATTGATGATTTTAAAAATGTATATATCTAGTTACACTATTGTAAGTAGAATCAACCCTTAAAATACTGTTTTCCTTTTTCTTACTCAGTGTAAGTATGTAGGTGATAATTTCTTATATTTTATTTTCTTTTGCTAAATTAATTGGATATATTGTACTTGGTGACCTGTCTTTTTTTCCTATCTTGGCTATAGGAATGTAGTAATATTTATCATAAGGAAAATGAGGTATATATTTTTTTAAGATTTTATTTATTTATTTTTAGAGAGGGGAGGGAGGGAGAAAGAGAGAGAGAGAGAGAGACATCAATGTGTGGTTGCTGGGGGCTGTGGCCTGCAACCCAGGCATGTGCCCTGACTGGGAATTGAACCTGCGATGCTTTGGTTCACAGCCTTTGTTCAATCCACTGAGCTACACCAGCCAGGGCTTGAAAATGAGGTATATTTTATCAAGTTCACCTAAATAGGCTAACCAGAAAAAGATACTTCGTCTGCAATATGTTAGGATATGCAAAATGCTAAGAAGAATTACTCCAGTTTGCTTTTAGTAGAAGCGGTATGTTTGCTTTAAGTAAATTGTCATGTATAAGTTACTTGAACTTTTATTTATGGAAGTTGTGTTTAAAAGTTGTATTATGAACTTTCAGTACACTTGGGTAGAATTCTGATGGGTATCGAGTTTCCTCAGAGCTTATCCCAGGTGTTGTTGGATATGTCCTCCATTCCTGATCTCTTACTGAACTCAACTGTTCTCAAGTTTCTTGTATTTTTAAAAATATAAAACCTTTTCTGTTAATCTGTAGGGCCCTTCTTGCTACCATTTTGTTTTCCCTCTATGCCAAAGTACTTCTTGAAAAACTAGTGTTTACTCGCCATCCCCTCTTCTTCATCTCTCGCTCTCTGGTGCCCACTGTTTGCCAGCTTTCACGCCCACTGGAAACTCCAAGGCCACAGGTGCACCGCATTGGGCAGTGTTGCCTTTCATAAAGCCTCCCTTGGTTTCCCAGGCAGTGGTCTCATCAGGTCGTACTTTATTTCTTTGTTCCTTCTTAAGGCCCTACAATTTTCTTTGTCCTGTGCTTATGTCTTGCTTTTCTCTAGGCATCTCTCTGCCCCCTTCTCTTACTGCTACATGTTGTGCTGAGTCATGTATTTCTTCTTTTGATTTTTAAGTTTTATTTTTATTGTGAAGTAGATAATAATACAGAAGAGTGTATAAAAATCGAAGAATTATAAAACAAGCATATATGAAACTGCCACCTAGGTTAATAATGTCATTCATCCTAATGAGTTTAACTTAAGTTTATGTACTGGTGTTTGCTACGTGCATATGTTCTGACCTCCAGCCACCTGCTGAATACCTCTGAATGTTTTGTGGGTACCTCACAGGCAAGATTGCCGTATCTCAAATGAATCTCACCTTTTTCCTAAGCTTGTTTTTTATTCTTCGTTTCTCTCATCTTAATTCATGGTCTTATCACCCACTTGTGTCTCCTAAACTGGAACTTTTGAACTTCTTCCTTCAGCTCCTGCTGTAACTTTTCATCTGTAATGTCTCCATTTGGCCTCCCTTCTTCATGGTCCCAGCTCCACCATTTCCCAAATTAGCTCTCTTAATTTCCGTTTCGTTTGTCTGATTCGTCACTATTTCCACACGGGACTGTTTGCTGCTGGGGGAAAGGGACCATGTTCTGTTCAGCTTTGTACCTCACTACTATATGCTTTGAAGCCAGTAAGTATCAAGTGAGTGTTTTAAGTCAGTTTTTCTTGAAAAGTGATAGAACACATCAGATATCAGTACATTTCACTATTTAAAAAGTATTTTTATAAGTTGAAATAAAAATAATTATTTGTTTATAGAAATAAAATTAAGATTTTAAGTGAAAGCAAGTTTGTCCTGGCTTGCGGGGAGTACCTCAGTTGGTAGCATTGTCCCAATACACCAAGGTTATGGGTTTGATCCCCAGCCAGGGCACATACAATAAGCAACCAATAAATGCATCAGTAAGTGGGACAACAAATTGATACCTGTCTGTCTTTCTCTCCCTCTTTCCCCTCTTCACTCCCCACCTCTTTCCCTCTCCTCCTTTCCTCTTCTCCCCCTCTCTCCTTTCCTCTCTCTAAAATCAATGAAGAACAAAATGAAGTGAAAGCAAGTTTTATTGAATATTTGAGCAAATGTAGATTTAGATAAGTTAAACATTACTTCTAGCTAAATGACAAGAAATAAGAATGCCTGTTTGATTTAGTATTTCCTATCTTCCTCTTTTCTTTCCCTTCAGGAAAGGCTAGTAGGAAAAACCAGAAATGGAGAGGACCGGATGAAAACATTAGGGCCAATCTTCGTCAGTATGGTTTAGAGAAGTATTACCTTGATGTCCTGGTTTCAGATGCATCTAAACCTTCTTGGAGGAAGGGCACATATTTTGATGCAATTATCACTGATCGTAAGTTTGTTTTTATACAAAAGTAGGAGTAAATTAGTTTCCTAAAGTCATCACATTTAAAACACAAAATTTATCAACACGCACAAAATGCCAACTTGCACCAGTATCCCCCCACCCCGGACTTCTTCACATAGTGAAAAATGTATGAATATGGGGTAGGATAGCAATTTAATTAAGTCGTTAAGCGTTTACTGTTTAGTTTTCTTAAACTATGCATATTAAGTTGTCATTACTTTTTCTCTTCGTCTTATTTTTTGAAGCCTGTATTTGTTTGGCTATAATTGGTTATTAGTATACACACTGGAACCAAAATTTCATTTGCAATTAGGGTATCAAATTTTGAAGAAGAGTGTTTCAAATATCACACATATTTTCCATGTGTGAGCTCTTATTTTTTTGTAGTTCCTGTTTTCACTGGCATCTGCTTCTCATAGTTACAAGAAATTTGGGATTCCGTGAACCACTGGGCCTGTGAACACACTGAGCTTCAGGAATGTGCCTGAGACCTGTTTTCCCATGCTTCACGGGGTCTTGGGCTCTTCAGGCATCCTTTATAGGAACAGACGTGCCTTTTCCAAAGTATTTGGCAGGAACTCTGTAAATAGTGGCAAGTGTATTTATCCATTCATCTCAGCTCACTTTAATTCTTTGGTAACTTAGATCATTTCAAATCTAACAAAAGAAAAATTATCAAGGCATTATAATGTCTGTATGAATCTGCTTTATGAAAACTGGGCGACTTCTTAACAATCTGTTTGCTCTCATCTTGTATATTTACATAAAATACAATTTTTTCTCTGGTCAGCTGAGAGTAAATTGTATACGTCGTGGCCCTTTGCCCCTGTACTTTAGTGTGCATTTCCTAAGAATAGAGTAGTCTCTTAGATAGCCAAAGTACAGGTACTGATTTCAATAAAGCAGCACAGTATTGTCATCCAGTTTTGTCAGTTAACCCAATAATACTATTTATGCTATTATTTCCCTTCTAGTGTCAGGTGTTGCATTTAGTAATCATGTCTTGTAGGCATCCTTTAATTTGTAACACTTTCATGGCCTTTCTCTGGCTTTGTGACAGTGACATTGTTGAGGAACACACTGGCCTGCCTGCCTGCCTTCACAGAACTTTTCATTAAAGTCTTCCTCATGTTACACATTCTCAGCTGGAACGTTGCGTAGGTGAATATGTCCCTCTCAGGGTTTCGCAGCTAGAGGCACACGATGTCCATCCACCCCTCACTGGGGATTAGGTGGCTTTCGACCGACTATGTTACCTGTGTTTTAGCTCCGTATGGGATCAGAGAATCTACCAGAAGGACAGGTTCACAGAGGGAAACACCAAAGGGGATAGAAAAGTGGTGAGTGAAAGTTCAATATGGTGTGTTACTACTTTAAGAAGAAGCATGTTGCTTCTTTTTTGTTAATTCAGTTTAACAGCCTTAAAGTTTTTCACTGATTTTGAAATTTTGTTTTCTTTGTCTAGTCCAGAAAGCCACGTTCCTGTTTCCTTGAGTTACCATCTGAGTGATATGTTTTTTGACCTGTTAAACTTTGCAGCTGAGACCCTCATATTAGGTGGAAGACTAGTCTATTGGTTACCAGTGTACACACCAGAGTATGTAATATTAAATAATTTTACTTTTGGTTTCATTTTTCTATGGTGTTTGTATATCTAGTATATATTTTTTTCCTATCTAATTGCAGTCAGGATAAATATCTTTGTGTTTAGGATATATGATGGTATTTGTTTACCTACATATATGTATAAAACAAGCCCTGTTCTCTTATTGATTGAATTACTTTGACCTTTTTATTTTATGTCAGGGTTTCGTAAACTATGACCTGTGGGGCAAATACAGTCCTCAGCATGTGTTTGTAAGGTTCTTGAGCTAAGACTGGTTTTATGTATTTTTTAAGGGTTAAAAAAATGTGACCGACACATACGAGGCCCACAAAGGCTAAAATGTTTACTCTCTGGCCCTTGAGAGAAAAAGTTTGCCAGTCCCGATTGTGTGCCACACTTACCTAAGTGTCTGCTACAGCTGTTCGGTGGCTGTTTTTCCAGGCCACAAATAGGTGATTTTGAACAACTTAGCTGAGTGATTCATATATCTACTAATAGCCACCTTTAATATATATTGGCTATTATGATCACCTTAAATGCAATAAATTTTTTTAAAAAGCTAACAGCAAAATAAAAGCTCTGCATATATTTAAGGCCCAGAGTATATTCAACATTATTAGTTTGGGTTTTATTATTCAGTAATTATTTATAAACAGAGCTATGTATTGTACATCAACAATGAAAGATAAAGTATCTTGAACAAGAAAAGATCTTTACTTAAAATATGTATAATATATAATAATAAATATTATTTAATGATTATGCTATTACAGTTATCTCAATTTCCCTCCTATGCCTCCTTCCTCCCGGTATGCCCATTCCCTCCAGCAATCACCCCCACCCCCAACCCTACCCCAGTAGATGTCCATGGGTCACTCATATAAGTTCTTTGGTTCCTCCATTTCCTATACCATTTTTAACATACTCCTGTCTATTTTGTACTTACCAGTTACCCTTCTTATTCTCTGTACCGTTTCCCCCATTTTCCTCCTCCCTCCTTCCCTGCTGATAACCCTCCAAATAATCTCAATATCTGTGATTCTGTTTCTGTTCTGGTTTTTTGCTTAGTTTGGTTTTTTTAGATTCAGTTGTTGATAGTTGTGACTTTGTTGTCATTTTAATGGTCATAGTTTTGATCTTTTTCTTAGACAAGTCCCTTAACATTTCATGTAATAATGGGTTGGTAATGATGAACTCCTTTAGCTTTTCCATGTCTGGGAAGCACTTTATCTGCCCTTCCATTGTAAATGGTAGCTTTGCTAGATAGAGAAATCTAGGTTGTAGGTCCTTGCTTTTCATCACTTTGAATACTTCTTGCCAGTCCCTTCCAGCCTGCCAAATTTCTCTTGAGAAATCAGTTGGCAGTCTTATGGTACTCCTTTGTAACTGTCTTCCTCTTGCTGCTTTTAAGATTCTCTCTTTATCTTTAACCTTTGGCTTCTTGATTAAGATGTGTCTTGGTGTGGTTCCCTTTGGGTACAGCTTATTTAGGACTCTCTGTGCTTCCTGGACTTCCTGGAAGTCTATTTCCTCGACCAAATTGGGGAAGTTTGCCTTCATTATTTTTGCAGATAGATTTCCAATTTCTTGCTCTTTTTCTTTTCTTTCTGGCATCCCTCTGATTTGGATGTTGGTACGTTTGAAGAAATCCCAGAGGGTCCTTATACCCTCCTTTTTTGAATTGTTTTTTCTTCTGGCTCTTCTGGTTGAATGCTTATTTCTTCCTTTTGTTCCAAATCATTGATGTGAATCCTGGCTTCATCTCATCACCTGCACGTATTTCTTTATTTCACTTAATGTAACCTTCATTCCTTCCTTTATGTTGTTGCTATACTCAGTTCTCTGAGCATCTCGATCACCAGTGTTTTGAACTGTGCGTCCAGCAGGTTGGTTATCTCAATTTCGTTTAGTTCTTTTTCTGGGGTTTTGTTTTGTTATTTCATTTGGGCCATAATTCTTTGTCTGCTCAATTTGGCAGCCTCCTTATGTTTGTTTCTGTGTAATAGGTAGAGCTGCATTGACTCCCTGATTTAGTAGCGTGACCTGTTACAGAAAAGACACCTGTAAATTGTGTGTGGCGCAGCCTTAGGTAGTTGCCAGGGCAGGGCAACCCGCTTCACTGCTTTGAGGCTCTGTGTGGGGGGAGGACTTGGTGAGGGGACAGTGCCGCTGCCTGGCCTCTAGAGGTTTGCCGGGCTTATGTGCTGTGCAGCTGGCACCCTTCCAGCTGTTGCCCTGGTGCTGAATCCCAGAGAAGGTGCGTCTGTGTACTTTTTAAGTCCATCTGGGCCCTTTAAGCCTAGTCTCCTGAAAATCCAACAGTTTCTTCCTCCTCTCTGATCCCCATTGCTTTTTATAGCCAGATGTTATGAGGATTTATCTTCTCAGCTCTGGAACCATGGGCTATGTTGTCTAGCCTGGGACTGGGATCGCTTACTTCCAAGGTATCCCTCTCGATATTTATCCACCACATATGAGTGTGGGTACTGCCCCTTCTGCTGCAGCTGTCTCTCTGTGCCGCACTGCATCTCCATGCGTCTCCGCCTGTCTCCGCCTGTCTCCGCCTGTCTCCGCCTGTCTCCGCCTGTCTCCCCCTCCTACCCTTCTGGATGAATGTGGCTTCTTTAAATCCTTGGTTGTTGGACTTCCATGCAGCTTGATTTTCTGATGGATTGGGGTGATATTTGTTTTGAGGTCTAGTTGTAATTCTTTCTGTGGTTGTGCAAAGAGGCAGTGTTTTTGTGTACACCTTCATCTTGATTGTAAGTCAAGAAAAGATCTTTAGATTGGCAAGATAGTAGCTCAAAATTGGGCCATTTCTTTAATCTGCCATAAAAATCCTTTTTAAAAAATTATTTTAAGCAAGTAACCTTGCTGCTGGAATTCAGCTTGTCTAAGGCAAAAACCACTTTTGCATAGAAATAAATAAATGTGCTCTTCTCTGAAAATATTAATAAAACTACATCTGTCACTTTACCTACCAGACACATGGGAGCTGGCAGGATGTTGAATTATGTGAACATAGCACTGGGAAGAAAGAAACCAATAAGCTAGCTGTTTGTTAACTTTAGAGGTCATTTTACTCCTTGGAATTAATTTTCCTTATTTCTAAATGAAGAGGTTAAATGAAATTAACACTGATAACAAAATACAAACCCAGTGTTAAGGAGTCTTGGCATGAATGTGTAGTCTGATCAGCTGATAAACAAATACTGACCAAAGGTGGGCCAGGTCTTTGTAACTTCCAATACAGTGCTTATAAAACAAACAGCAAAAAACAGCACAGCTTCCAAGTGCCATTATGAAAAGACAGGTTTAACACTGTTCTGACATGCTTTTTGTGTAATTCTGTACAGTGAATGTAAGAAAAATAAGAATTACATGTTATAATCAAGTTCAGGTACTATTTCTTAAACCAGGATATTTTGAAAAAGTATAAGGCATAGTAAAAACAAAATACTACCTAAAAGCTTAGTTATTTGTGAAGGATTGTTGGAGCTAATGATTGAAAAGTTTGTTTAAAGTGCAGTGAAGAAGCCACCACTCTGAGTGGCAGCTTCTGTTTCTTTCCCTTTAGTCTAGATTTCTTCCACTCTAGTGTATCAGATTTTCTTGCCCAAGTTAGGATACTCTGTACACTTTATATCTTTTCTCCCTTGTTCATTCTGTCCCCATCACTTGATTTACCCTTCTCCCTCAACTGGTAGAATTCTAGTCATCTTCCAAGGCCTGCCTTAATTGTCACCACTTTGACATTTTTCTAGCCCTTCTCAGCATAATGACTGACTGACCAGTCCTTCATCTGTGCCCTCGCAGTGTGTTCTTATCACTCAGAGGCTTGCACCATAAAATCACTGACTGTTGTTGTTTGTGGGTTGTTTATTCATAGTTTCAACTACTGGGAAGTGACCCTGAAGATCTGTGTAACAGTCATTTGGACAGGGCGTAAGTTCGACTCCTCTGGGTTTGATGTTATAGGAGTTGCTGAGTTACTGAGTGTAGCTGTTTGCCCAGGTTCCGCATATCTGTGTAGTGTCGTGTTCTGTTGTCACTGCTCACAGATAAGGGTCTTGAAGTGATTAGAAACAGTTCCTTCGTGAAAGATGCACTTTAATACAGATCCAGCTGATAGTTCTCATGACTAAAATGCTGAAAAAGTGAAGAAATCTAGTAAAGTGCCTCAAGGTGGAAGTTGGAGCTCAGATTTAATTGTAATAAAACAAATTTTGTGGCTCAGAGCAGTGAACAGAACATGTTTTTCATCTCTCATCTAGGGAACAGAAAAAAGTGATTCCTTAAACTGTTTTCAGTAAGTGCTTCAATCAACACAAAATCTGTTTCTCAAATGGGAGGTGAAACCGTGGTGACATTTTAAAATAGCCTGAGGCTTGAAGATTCACAAGAAAATTAGTGACTTTCAAAACTGATTCATGGAAAAGATAGGGGCCTATATACATAGGGTTTGTTTTTTTTTAGCTTTTATTAAAAAATTAAAATATAATGTATATGCCATGCAAGTCACTCTTTTAAAGTGTACAAGTCCACTTGGTTTTTAGTATATCCACAAAGTTATGCAACCATGCCATTATCTAACTCCAGAACATTTTTATTAACACAAAAAGAAACATTGTACACATGAGAAATATCTATCACTTCTGTCCCTGGCAACTACTTATCTGTCTCCATGGGTTTGCCTATGCTGGCTGATTTGGATTTCAAATAGATGCTTGCATCGTAGAGGATAGTAATAAAAATAGAATTAAGATAGGGTACTAGACTATCATAATAGTCCCAGCATAGTACAGATTTATTGCCTCTAATAGTTTGCACAGAGTTCATTACTATGAAATATACTGAGAAATATATAGTAGAGAATTTTTGAACTGCTATTTTTTTAGTGTGGTATTTTGGAAATATACTGTTCAATTGGTTGGTTCATTAATATAATAGAGCAGTGGTTAAAAACAAATCATTACTGATAATAATGACCCAAATGATGTTCCTTCCTGCTTAAACTTCAAGATCAAGTTAGAACAAGAATCTAAAACATGTACATACTTTTTTCTGCTCTTAAGCCAAAAATTAGTGACATAGTTTTAGCAGTTTACCAAAAGTTATGTTATAAATATTAATTAAAATTGTATTGGTTTCGTGCTTCTGGTTTGATTTATAAGTTTATTTTTGGTTTTATAGGTATATAAGGGATATAAACATGAGGAATTTATCTCTAATTTATGTTTGTATATATTTTAAGTAATGTTTTAGTAAAAATACTTTGTAAGCTCCACCAGGAAATAAACTCTTTCCCTTCACAAAGGGTGCATGACTAAGTTTGACAAACGGTTTCAGATGTCTGTGAACCCTGGTGTTCAGAAGCGTACATTTGAGGCTCTGTCCTACCACTTTTTATTTTAATATGCCAACCATGGTGTAGAATGTATTCCTTCATATCGTAAATGCTTTACATGAAGACGTCAAATTTGATTTTAATTAATGTTGTAGAAGTACAGCCTTTCTGGCAATATAGTGAACATTAGAGAATTACTAGATGAGGTGAAATCTGAAATGGTCATGACTTGTCGGAATCCCCTAAGGAAGGAGGCAGAGAATGACTTCAAGAGAATTCCTTCCACTGATAGTAGAGAGAAGTGCATGATGAATGTTGCTTGCTGAGTGGGTGATGAAGGTTTTGAGCATGTGGTTGAGGTAATGGGGAGAGCTCCTTGAAGGTCAGAAAGACCTAGAGAAGTCAGTGAAAGACTTCTGGTGAGGAAGACACCGTGGATGTGTTGTAATACCGGCTAGATGAGATGGATGTCCTTTACATAAAGTGCTGATCAGCATCTTTCCCATTTTGGATCAGAGCTTTAAAGTTCCCCATGTGATACACATTTCCAGAGAGTATCCAGAAAGATACACAGATTTGCAAAGGGAAAATAAAAACTGGCAATCACTGTGTTGTTTAATGGTACTCATACCTCCTGAACCCTCTCCCCCATTGCTCTTCTGCATCCTGCTCTGTAGTTGTTTTCACCACGTCTATCACCTGTTTTTTCTCCCAAGATTAATACCAACAACCTGCCAGATGTCAGGTTCTGAACTCCTGCAGTCTGACTGTCCTGCTTTCTGGGTGTCGTCATCTCCAGTCACGAGGTGCCTGTGCCGCGCAGCCATTTCTGCGGCTCGTTATTGTCGCTTCTGTTTGATTTCCTGGTGCCGGTGACCAGAGAACTGACGTCAGCTGTTTCTTTTAGTGGTAGTCTATCGAAAAGTCTTATAAGTAACCTTAGTCCTGTGTTTTTACAAAGTTAATGGAGATCTCCAGATGCGGGGGCAAAATTTTATAGAGGAAAGTACATACTGTAATAGACTTTATACTTTGGGAAATTATAAATCTCCTGATGAGTCAGTCTCATGAATGTCAAGTTGTTGTAGGGTGTATTTCTGTCTTTTAGGTGCTCTTGTGGGATCTTTAGGATGGAATTATTGTTGTCTCATATTTTTGTGGTTTAAATTCTTGGCATTCTTCAATAAAACATGTTTATATTCTCATTCTCATTCCACAGGCAAAACAAACTCCTTTTTTTGAGATGTGGTAATATTAAAATACTTTGGTTTTTAAAAATCCAGATTGTTTATGTATTATGTGAACAGCGTATATAAAGTAAAATGGTCCAGCATGCAGTGGGAGGTCTCATACCACACTGGATAGCCCCATGACCATCCTGTGTGGGGTGTACCTGCGAGTGTTCCTAACAGTCGTGTTCTTTCTCCAGATACACTGTTGACATGGTGCCCTGGCATCCTTGCCTGAAGCTTATTAGCAACTGTGAACAGAAGCTTTCCAGTCACACATCAAGGCGCTTGATAACAATGGAAAAAGTGAAGAAATTTGAGGTAAATTATTATAGTACTTTTGGGATAAATTCTGGAAGCATCAGAAGTCTATTTTTTTAGTTTTCCTGTAGCAGAATTTTGAATGTTAGTCCCTGATTAAAAAAAAAGAATCAATGAAGTCAGGAAAAAGCAGAAGGGGAAGGGGTTTGTGGCCTTTGGTGGGGTTAGAGGGTGGAAGTAGGATGTGGAAGTTGAATGGAAGAGTAGAATTAAAGTGACCTTAACTCCTCAGGCTTTATTTGACATTCTTGTTGCTAACTCAGTTATGAAACAGAGCACTCTTAATTAAGTATCATTTAGTTAGCAATCTTCTAGTTTTCTACTGTTTTTTTTTTTTTCCAGAAGTATAACCTGCTTGATTGCAGACTGTTCGGAAGAGAAAATGGCACTTTGTATAAGTGAGACAGTAATTCCCCCATCAGTCAGGGTGCAACGTGGTCTTCTTTCTTCTTCTCTCCCTCTGCCCTCTCCCTCCTGCACACTTCAGCTGGACAAGAAAGCACAAAGCACCTGCAATATTTTGTGTCCAGATCAGAACAGAATTGATATGAATAATGCCTCATAATGGAACTTAATTCCATTATGCACAGAATGCTCTTTGGGCCCTACTTACCCTGATTGACAGCCAAAGCCTTCCCAGTTCACTAGAAACTGAGGCAAGCCCCATCTTTGCTTTGGGTCTGTAGGGTGAGCAGAAAAGAACAGAAGGTTACTGCCTTGGAATTTAGTGATGTGAGCATCTTTTCATGTATCTTCTTTGGAAAAATGTCTGTTTAGATCCTCTGCTCATTTTTTAATCAGATTTTTTTTCCTTTTTTTGGCTATTGAGTTTTATGCATTCTGTGTATATTTTAGATATTAACCCCGCATCTCATCTGTGATTTGCAAATATTTTCTCCCATGTAGTACATTGTTTTTTTCATTTTGTTGATGGTTTCCTTTGCTGTGCACTGTGCAGAAACTTTTTAGTTTGATGTAGTCCCCCTTGTCTATTTTTGCTTTTGTTGCCTGTGCTTTTGGAGTCAGATCCAAAAAAGTGCCAAGACCTTTGTCACGGAGTGTATGGCATGGCCTATGTTTCCTTCGAGGAGGTTTATAGCCTTAGGTCTTACAGTTAAGTGTCTAATCCATTTTGAGTTAATTTTTGTGTGTGCTGTAAGACAGTGGTCTAGTTTCATTCTTTTTCATTTGGCTGTCCGGTTTTCCTAATGCCCTTGATTGAAGAGACTTTCCTCTCCCCATTGTGTATTCTTAGCCCCTTTGTCATAAAGTTGACCATGTTTGCATGGGTTTATTTTTGGGCTCTCTGTTCTGTATGTACCTGTTTTTATGCCAGTACTATACTGTTTTGATTACTCTGGCTGAGTAATCAATCTAGTTTGAAATGAGGACATGTGATACCTCCTTCTTTGTTCCTCTTTGTCAAAGTTCCTTCTGCAACTTGGGGTCTTTTGTGGTTACATACAAATTTTTAAGACTGTATGTTCTATTGCTGTGAAAAGTGCCTTTGGAATTTTGAAAGGACTGCGCTGAACTTGTAATATGAACATTTTAACAATATTAATTCTTTCAGTCTACAAGATATCTTTTTATTATTTGTTTCTTCAATTTCTTTCATAAGTGTCTTATAGTTTTCAGTGTAGAGGTATTTCACATTCTCGGTTAAATTTCTTCTTAGGTTTTTGATGCAATTGTAAATGGGATTATTTCTTATTTTCTCTTTCTGATGGTTCATTATTAGTGTATTGAAATATTGTTGATATTTGTATATTGATTTTTGTATCCTGCAACTTTACTGAATTTGTTTTATTAGTCCTACCAGGTTTCTGATGGGGTCTTTAGGGTTTTCTATGTATAATAACATGTCACCTGCAAATAGTGACAGTTTTCCTTCTTTTCAGTTTGAGTGCCTTTTATTTCTTGTTCTTGCCTAATTGCCCTGGAAAGGGTGGGCATTCTTGTTTTATTCCTGATCACAGAGGAAAAGCTTTCAGCTGTTTACCACTGAGTATGGTGTTAACTCTATGCTTGACATGTATGTCTTCTGTTACTTTGAAGCATGTCCCCTCTATACCCACTTTGTTGAGAGTTTTTATCTTAAATAGTTGTTGAATTTTGTCAGATGCTTTTTCTGCATCTATTGAGATCATCATGTCATATTTATTTTTCAGTTTGTTAATGTGTTATAGCACATTGATTGATTTGTGGATGTTGAACTATCCTTGCATTTCTGGAGTAAATCCACCCGATCATTGTGTATGATCCTTTTAATGTGTTGTTGAATTTGGTTTGCTAATATTTTGCAGAGGATTATTACATCTGTGCTCATCAGAGATACTGGCCTGTAAATTTTTTCTTGTGGTATCCTTGTCTAGTTTTGGAATCAGGGTAATGCTGCTCTCATAAAATGAGTTTGGAAGTGTTCCCTCTAATTTTTGGAAGAATTTGAGTTTAATTCTTTGATTGTTTGGTATAATTCACCAGTGGAGCCATGTGGTCTTGGACTTTTATTTGTTGGGAAGTTTTTGATTACTGATTAAACCTCCTTGCCAGCAACCTGTCTATGCACATTTTCTTTTTCCATGATTCAGTCTTAGAAGGTTGTATGTTTCTAGGTTGTCCAGTATGTTGGTGTATAATTGTTCATACTAGTCTCTTAAGGTCCTTTGTATTTCTGTGGTATTGGTTATAATGTCCCTTTTTTAAGTTTTCTGATTTTATTTATTCGTTGCTATTTTAATTGCAAAATTATAGACAATTTCACATTTGCTTTCCCATGAGTTTAATTTAAGAAAGTCTAGTATTTTTTTCCAAATTTACACTACTTTTCTAAGCAAATTGATTTGATATTCAGGAGAGGAAAAAGAGAATGATCTAAGAATGGTTCTGAGAATTTCTTTTCTACATAAAAACGATACAGGGCACTCACCTTAGATATTTTAAAGCTCGGAAGGCAGTAATTTTGGTTGCTTTTTATCATTTTACTTTTGTCCTTTTAAAATTTATTTTAAAAAATTATAAAGCCTAACCTCAAGTAATTTTTGAAATGGTCTTTATAAGATCAAATTTATTCAGTGACTTTTAACTAATATGGAGTTTACTCTGACTGTACTGTCTTGCTAAATTCATCATGTTTGTTTTTTAATTAATTACTTCATTTCTACCTTCTGTTTGTATGAGGAGAAGTGTATATAATTGCAGCGAGATCCCAGTCCTTCATAATGCAAGTGATGACATGAAATTGTCAAACAGTTCTTATACGCGTCTAACAAATTATTCTTGGGCTCTTTCAGCGTTGTTGATTTTGGCAATGGAAGACTATTAATTTTAGATTTTTACACTTTTGTGTACTGTATCTCTTCATATTTGATTTGTCACTTGTTAGGTTTAACTTCAGTATAACTTTTGGCCCACTTGATAGGTTGTTATAAAGTGTTCTCTCTGACCTCATTTTAAAATGTAAACATAAATGCAAAAACTGTCCAAAGAATATGGATGTTTCATAAAATTTTGTGTCTTTAGGTTATTGGCTATAGTTTTTAGATTAATTGAACATTAATGGTGAAGAAATTCTTGCCAACCATGTTAAAATTATGAGTATGCCTGATAAGAAAAGCTAGTTTTTTTGGTCAATATTCCTTGTTTATGTAGCCTGAAAGCCAAGGGAATGATAAGTAACACTTTAATAATACTTTATTGTTTACAGAGGTTTAGAACCATTGACCTAATTATCTTGCACATTTTTGAGCTTAGGAAGTAGCTGAGTTGAGACCAAAACACTTCTGTGTACTTGAAATTCCATATTCTTTTTTCTACATCATGTCACCTCATTACCTAAACACATTACTACCTTTAGAGTATACCAAGATTAAGAGGTAATATTTTTGAGTGGCATATTGTTAGTTTATTTTAAAGATAGTCTTTCCTTATCACTTGTGGTGTCATGGTAGAATGTGATTTGTTTTATTAGAACTTAATTTTCCTGTTGTTGCAACGTGTAGCTGGTGATGCTATATATGTGTGTGTGTGTGTGTATATATATGTGTGTGTGTATACACATATATATAGTTATGGTCACAGTGGTTACTCCTATAAAATATTTTCCTTTATGAAATTCATAAGAGAAAAATGTTCATCTTCCAGAGTTGCCTACAGCAGATCGGAATGCAAGTGTAATTAGTTACATGTCTTTAGTGAAAGTCTTGTAAAACAGTACTCTCTCAACCTTTCCTACCAGTATACTTGGATGGACAAAAGAGTAGCTAGAGTAGCCATGTTCAAGACTTCTTGAAGTGTTTTTTTATAGGTCTGTGCCACTTTTATACTCAGTAGTGCTTGTTTAAATATAAAAATTTATTTAATATTGCCATTGTATTAAGTGGACAATCGGGTGCCCTGTTTGAGGACTGAAGTATTGGCTAAGTTTTATTCTAGGTATTATAATATTGTGTAAATCAGTTGTCATTATCTTTTATAGCTAGCCAGAGTAGTTCAGATTATTTAAAATAAATAATATTGGAAGGTCATAGTGGCAGATGGTGAAAGTTAGTGTGATTTTTTTATTTTAGACTGAATGAAAGAGTCCAGTATCATGAAGGTAATGAATGCTTCATTAGTCAGAATGGAAGGTGGCCAAAACTGAGGGCTTGGGCTAAAGGACTTGAGATTTTGAAGCTGTGGAGGGAGAAAGAACAATTAACATTATAAATGTTTTACATGAGGAAGGGAGAGAAGAGACACTGAGGTCACTTGCTTGAGACAATGACTTATTGATGACTCGAAGTGGAACTAGTCTTTGTGATAAGTAGTGTATATGTTAGAATGATGGTAAAGTGATATTGCTGATGATAAACTGGTGTTTTGCAGACATAATGCTTGTTCCTGATTCCATTATGCATTATCCTTTCTCAGAATTAATGTCAGTAGTTGTTTTTTTCTTTGGCAGCTGTTTTAATTAAAGGTGTTTCCTTCTAGTTGACTTTTCTTTCTGAAATGTTTTT